TTTTGGACTGTGCTTACTCAATTCTGCCTAATTGAAATTTTTATGTCAATTTGAGCCTGCACTAAGTCAATCGATGCAGCTTTAAATCACCCACAGACCAGAGTCCCCACGCAAATTTTCCCGAAGAACCCACAAAACGAAAATCACTTGTTTCCAAAACCACCACTTGAAAATGTATGTTGTGTTATATATTTCCAAGTGGTGGATAAAATCATCTGTGTGTTTTTATTCACCACGTTGCAAGTGGTGTTTCTGGAAACACATGTGTTTCATATCACCCGAAAATTTTGTCTGTGGGCGTTTTGGAGATCAGTGTAATATTTTTTAAAGTTTGAAAAATAGTGAACAAAATTAGAATTTATTCTCTTTTTTAAATGCTATCTGAATTTTTGTATTTAAATAGAATATAGTTCATGATTGAAACACGTTGGCAATTCCATGAATGAGTTGAATTCATCAAAAGTGAGTTTCTCGGACTTGAAATATTAAATTATTCAGAAATAAAATTCAACTTGACTTACACTTTTTAAAACAGATTAAAATCTCCTTTTTTATTATATTTTCCATACATTATTCGAAATACACTGTTTTCCAGAAACACAACACAGATTTTCAAGTGGTGGTTTTGGAAACCCGTGATTTTCGTTTTGTGGGTTCTTCGGGGAAATTTGCGTGGGGACTCTGGTCTGTGGGTGATTTAAAACTGCATCAAGTCAATCTATGTTAACATATTGGACATTGTATAAAACTGCCATAAATATACCATTAAGCAAAGCTGTGATGATCTCTTAAGTGACTCATTAAGTTTGTAGCAGCAGGAAATGTTTCAGGTTACGTCTGAAAACAACGTCAAAATCAACCAGAGCTGACTTTAAGCGCCAAAACTTGATTTATTTCGATACCTCAGAAGCTGCAAAATAAATGATCTCAGCAATTATAAATAAGATAGGAAATCAAATCAGTTTAATATCTCACATTCAAATGTAAAGACGTTCTTGTCTTAGGAATCAAAAGGTAAACAAATTTCTGACATAAAGAATGTAAGTTATAAACTAGACGTGATAGTTGCAAGGTTTCTGTAACAAAATAGATGAATTTAAAAAGATTATAATTTAATGCTTTTAAAGGACCAAAAAAATTATCAAAAAATAGGCAAGTGATGATATTATGGCTATTTTGTAGTCAATCATCAAACTATAAATACTGCTATCAATATTTATAGAATTGGCACAGCTGTAGATATAAATCAAAATAACCCTTGTGATATTTTTTTCCAACCCCATTTTTATTGCTTTTTTATATTGAGTGAAAGCAATCCGATAACTTTTTTACTTGCTTAACCATTTAACATGCAGTAAAAAAATTAATTTATCATACATATGACCTGGTCAATACACAAGATTATTTTAATTCAATGAAAATCCTCAAAAAAAATCCCATTCCAATAATTTTTAGAAAACAACGTAAAGATACCTTAAAGATATAAAGTTATAATATTTTCATGCATTATAGATAGGATTTAAATGCAATGTAATCATATTTTCCTTTTAGAAGATTACTACTTATTTAAGAAACTTACAGTAGCATAAAAATTGGTTATACAATGGTCATTAGACAATTTGTGAAATGGTTTTTACACATACATCATTGTTATGATACGTTTAATGATTACCTTAGTAGTAAGTAGAATTGTTGAGGGTGCTTTATCATTTGAAAAAGGGATTCTAGATTTTTTTTTTGAAAAATTGTATTTTGTTTATGTCGGTCCATGGCATGTCAGACAAGCAGAAAAATTAGCTGAAATTTATTTTACCATTCCTCACCCACTTTTTGTAAGGATTTTCTTTATATTCACAAGCCACTTTACAGGATTTTCGTTGAGTGATATCTTTGTTATGATACGTTTACTTGAGGGTATTATGGTTTTTTCCAGCAAATTAGCTATGGCAAATAAATGGCAGAAAAAATTACCTGGGGTACCCATGTGATGATCAAATTTTCTCTGTTTATTTAGTTAATGAATCTTTTACTTTAATTGCGTAGCACTTGAATGAAAAAATGTTCATCTCGTTCATCTTGCTTATTCTCATTTACATTTTGCTCTTTGCCTTTTTTTAAAATCATTTGTTATTATTAATTTCTGAATTTTTAAATGTAATTAAATTGAAATCTATTATTCCCTTTTACCCTTAAATCAATTCCGATTAGCTTTATAATAAAAGCGTCTGTTCATTGGCATTGCCGCAAATTAATGACATCATTCTTGGCGGTTAGAAATTTTTTAATAACATTTATCGGACATGTCATAAAGGCTTTAAAATGTGGTTAATTTAATTAATTAAGTTTTAGTTTTTAACATTTGTTAAAATTTCTGATTCCAAACAAAAAGAATAGTAAAAGTAGAAACAATTTTGATATTCCAGCTTATTGATGGACAAAACGTCACTTATTTACAAGAAATTTACATACTATAAGCAAAGTTTAAATGAACAATTGACAAATGCCACAATGAATCTCATAAAAGGCAATAAAACACGGAATGACTTGTGAGGAAAATCTTCTCGCCGATTCCCAATACTATGTGAACAAAGACTGTTTATCGTAATCTTTCATAGCATTTCATCCCATTTTAAGAAACATTTAAAATGTTAGTTTTCTTTCTGCTCATTCTACCTTCAATATATCTCGGGAAAAAAAAAATCCATAAAACATTCAATCAGTATGAAATATCAAAACGAAAATAAAATGAACAGCGAAAAAAAAATAAGAATTCAGTTGCGTCAAATATTTAGTCTGCGATGAATTTAATTTTTGTGACGATTTTATAGGTTTTTGTTTTAATTTTTTCCTTCATTTCTCAAACGATTCGTAAAAAATAAATAAAAATAAAACTGATGTTACAGTAGCGAAATGCCAAAAAAAGGAGAAAAATTAAATATTAATCTGTTTTGAGCAAAAGATTATATGGAATTTCAGTCACGTTTTTATTTCTTGCTGAAATTCTTTAACTAAAAATTATACTTCTCTTTTTTGAAGTAATTTTGTCAATAAATCATCTGGAATCATCAAAAAAATATTTGTTGAAATGTATTCTGTGGTCTTTCTAGAGTATACCTAATCATAAATATTTTATTTAATTCGGACGATCTTAAAATTCATATGTTTACGTATATCATGTATACAAGCATGCCTGATATTTTTATCTGAAAATGTAGAAAAATCCAGTAAAATTACAAAGCAAGTTTGCGAATATACTCAATCATTGTTGGATGAATTGCACTAATCGAGAATTGTTTTCTATAATATACAGTAGTAGTAAACACCACAGCTAATTTTAATGAATGCTGCTATTCCATCCATTCACACTTTATCTTAAATATGCTTGTCTTTTACCGTTCATGCAAGTCATTGCTGTATATAAATTGAAAGAATTTAAATCTACTTTTTTCAACTATTAAAATTTAATTTTCTGTTTTCTCAATATTTTTATGTCAACTTCTTGTTTTGCCTGAAAATAATTACATTTGAGTAATTCTATTTAATTTTAAAATTTTTTAAATTTTCATTAATTCTCAATGTTAATGAATCATAAGACTCGTATAAAAAAGAATAACGTTCTTGTCAATTTTGAATTATCGTATAAAAATATTGAAAATTTCATAAACCGTTGATTTGAAGATCACAAGCACACTGAGTAATCAGTACGTTGGATGATGTTGCATTGCTAATTTAACTCGTTTATCTGAATCATTTTCACTTGATCAACTTATTATTATTACTTTATAACAGAACAAAGTGCTATATATAATGTTGATAAAATGGCAAAATTAAATACACAGCACAAGTATCCACAGTATTGTCAATCCAAAAAAAAAAATATGAACAAATCATAATTCAAAATCTATACATAACTTAACACAACATGTCTTGGATCAAGCATAAAAGAAGGAGTTGAACGTAATTAGAAGTGGCCCTTCTCTAAACGTAAGCTTTTTCTATTGATTGAAAATTAATTATACTTGAAGAACTTCCGGAGTGTAGAGAAAATTGCTCTATATATACACGTATATAGGTATTTATAGAGCATTGATGCCGAAATGAAGTAACTGGAAAGTGAATAAATGATAATCAGCAACGCTTGACCCCATAAGCATGAATAAATTGGAACGAATTTGCCATCTTCATTTCATTTCGGATTACTTTCAACCTTCACATTTTTGTTTAATAAAACGCTTCACGGGAATATTTCCAAAGTGAATGTTGATTACTTGTCCATTAGCGTACGAACAAAATTACAGGTTTTAAACTTTAAATAGATTTAATATTAAGCTTCATTAGTTGAAATCCTCAAAACGCTCTATCTAATGGCGATGCCAACGTATTGATAATTTGATAATAAAAATTCCGCGTACTTTCTTTAATTAAAATCATTAGCTACATAAAAATTAGATCATGTGTCTAAGCATGAGCGGAAATCGCAAGTTTAATGAGATCTGATCGCATGAGATTAATATTCGTTCAATCAAGTTGATTTGCGTCCTTACTACTCGTATAACAGTACAGCACAATATCCTGAGATGCGAATGACAATCGTATGCATGCGAATAATATGCAGTTTGACGTGTGTATCTCGGATTTTGTTTGTAAATAAAGAGACTTTTTTTAAGTTTTAATTTTGTGGATTGAAAAAACTTAAAGTAATGGAATAATGTGATTTGTTCAGTTTCGCGAGTTAAATTGATATCTCCTTAATTACATGAAAATGTTCGGAGTTGCAGATTCATTGGCTTATTGGTAGAATTCTAGATTTTCCACGATGACTAGTTTAAAAATTTGGATTAAGAATCATTAATTTTTTCGGAATCAACCATAGTATATAAAATAAAAAAATATTCTAATCAATGTGTGATGTTGTTGATATACATGCATACACAAAAAAATGTCTTTCTCTCTTTCGATGCCACAAAAAAAAAATCGTTAAATTTTTTTGTGCATTGCCTATTAATCTATTTAATTGATTATGCAATGCTACTGAGAGTGGTGTGTACTGTCAAAAAAATATATATAATTTAAAAAAATTCTTCATTCCTTTACGTGTGAATAGTACTAAAACCATTAGCATACATAACCAGAATAGCATCAGTAACTCTTCTTTTCCTGTTTTTTCTCAAATTCTCTCATCTCTTTTTTCCCTCTCATTTTTTATATATGTATCTCTGGTGTAGATTTTTTTTTTTTGGTTAGATGCCGAAAATAATAAGATAAATAATACATTTTTTGTGTATAAAAAATCATTACCACAGGCAAAGGTTTACGCACACAAGAATGAAAAAAATCGGTGAGGACCAATTTTTTTCGACTTTAATTCATAAAGAGTTTTTGCTTTGCTTGTGAAACACATGCGGTTTGTCGCAAGAAGACATAAAAAAAATAAAAAATCAAGCAATATAAACATTTTTTTTATTTATCGAATTTTGTGTACGGAGTTGTAAAAAAAACTTTAGCTAGATATTAAGGAAAAAAATCTGTTTACAAAAAAATTACAAGACATAAAATTTAGAATAATTAAATGAAATTAAAACTGTGCCTTTAAAAAAAACAAAAAAAAATAATCATTCGACTTACCATCTCAATATTCTAAATATACGACTAATGAATTATTTCCTGAAAAAGGAAAATTATCATATTTGAAAATTTTAAAGAAAAAAGTGAGCTCAAATTGAATTTTGAAAAATAAATTTGATGGCTGACATTTCAGATGGGTATACAAGTGATTCCATAAATCAATTTTCTTTTCATGGTTTTAACAGGAGAGAATTTTTCGGTGTAAAAAGTGAAAATTCTCTGGAAATTCATAATAAAGCCAGTTTCAATAACATTAACAATAATAATTGCAATATCTTTATTGACAATCAAAAATCATCGAGTGCGCTAAAAGATTCTTATCCACAAAAATTCTCCAAACATAGAACTGAAGATTCCATCCAAATGACTGATATTAAAGTAAGTATATTAATTTATTTTATAGTCTTTCCATTCTAAAATTCAAATTAGTTGAATAGAAGCGCAGTTTTAATATAATAGAAAGAAAAAAATATCCTAAAAGCTAGTAAAATAATGAAAATGTAACAGCGCTTATTTCGCGGAAATTCTTAATAAACAAGTTTTCCTCGTAAAACGTAAACAAACTTCCCGTGGAAAAGTACAAACATTTCAATTCAAAAATAATGTCGCAAATTCCATGCTTCCTAATGATCTATGCTCACTTTTTCTTCAAATATAAATTCATTCGAAACAGAAATGAAGATGGATATACGGAAATATTTAATTCGACAAGGATTGAATCGTGATATAAGCAAGCAGATAAGAAATGCATATATCCTTATCATTAGTGAGGTCATTGATTTTAAAATAAAGTGAAAGAAAGCGATAAAATGTTTTCTCATTCGAATAGCCATTTGTTAACTTACATAAGCCTTTTTTGTTGTGCTTTATATTTTTATTCGGATAATCATTAAATTAATTTAATCTGATATGATAATTTTTTTTCCTTCGCTAGTTAATTTCAATTCTCTATCGCGATTTTTTAAAAAAACAACATCTAGAAAAAGAAGAAACTGAAGAGACTAAAACTGATTTCCAAAATATTTTTCTGTTTGATTTAAAAGTAACGATAATGTGTAGTATTTGTTAATTGCAATATGAAGATCTGGCAACTGTGTATGGTCATGGTCCAAATTTATTATTATTTTTTCATTCAAGGCCATCGCGTATTTTAAGATTTGAATCATTATCATTATACTGCACTAATAGATATATTAAATCAAACATCAGAATATTTTAATTCTTGATTTTCGATTTTTTTTTTCTTTTAAACAAAAATTAAAATGAAATATAAATGAGAATTGACCTTGACCTAAGATATTAAAAAACTCATTCTAGAATGGGTATTAACGAAGAGAACTAAGTCTTTAAATCTTGTTGTTTTATCAATTTCTTTACAGTTGTTTAATAACAAATCGGATTATCAAACACATGCACAAACAAATATGCGCGAAGCTAAACCATATAAATGCACACAATGCACAAAAGCATTTGCCAATTCAAGTTATTTGTCACAGCACACTAGAATTCACTTAGGAATCAAACCGTACGGTTGTGAAATTTGTCAACGTAAATTCACACAACTTTCACATCTACAGCAGCACATTCGTACTCATACTGGTAATTAATGCCTTTATTATTTAATTTTTTCACAATAATTAATTTGTACAAATATTTTCACAGGTGATAAGCCCTATAAATGCCGTAACCCAGGATGTGTTAAGGCTTTCTCACAACTTTCAAATCTTCAATCTCATTCGAGAAGTCATCAAACTGATAAACCATTTAAATGCAATTCATGCTACAAGTGTTTTAATGATGAGACAACTCTTCTTCAACATATTCCAAAACATAAGGAATCAAAGCACTTAAAAACTCACATTTGTCAATATTGTGGAAAATCATATACGCAAGAGACTTACTTACAAAAACATTTACAAAAGCATTTAGAACGGGCTGAAAAAAGAAATTCTGGAGTACAACCAGGATTAGGATTACGTAATTCAAATGGAACAGAACATTCATCTTATTCCGTATGGCCTGTTAAAACAAACAATGAAAATCCCATTGTAATACCTGAATCATTACAACATTCAACTAACCATCATTATGAGTTCGTACTTAATCATAATGATCAACAGCATCATTCTCGTAATTCAATTGATGTTCTTCAACGAAATGATAGTGGTAATGATGTTAAAGATTTAACAAATTCGCAAACAAATCATCATTTACCAGTGTCATCATCTTCATCTTCCGATGATATAATGTTAAGCTCGACCAATACTACTACGAAAATAAGTAACAATTCCGCGTTCACACCAATAAATGTAATTAATCCACATTTGAATTCTTTGCAACATCACCAAATATCACAGCGCCCAATCTATTACGATGCCATAGCAATTCAAAATAAAAATATTTCGCAAAATACAGTAAATTTTCCCAATCAATTAATATCTTTACATCAAATTAGAAATTATATGCATCATCAGCCTGGCGGTTTAGTCAATAGTGATCATCTCATTAGTATAGGCACTGCAATTTCAAAAGATAAAGGACAATAAAATCCAAATAATTACAATTAAAATAATATCAATATCATAATTAAGGAACGAGTAAGTGACAACTAAAGATGCTCAAAAGCATTACAAAAATAAAAGACAAAATTGAATAAGATAAGATAGTTAAAATGGTGTAGAGTTTGCAGTCAATTTAAACGCATTTTTGTCATGTTAATTAGGACACTTGGCGATTTCTTGCTGTGTTTCTGCTGTCAATTATTAAGTACTTTACATAAATTAACTAATAATTTGAACAAAATAATAGTCAACATCCTGTTACGTACGACATAACTGAAATATTTTCGATAGGCATAGCATAAGTTCAAGCAGACAGAATGATCAAAAAGACAAATTTGTGTGACGAAAATGCGTTTAAATTCATGCGTGAAGTGATCAGAAACAAATTGATGATCTCAAAGTAAATGAATATTATCAAGGATTGAAAATAAAGCTAATGGTGGATGTAAATATGTAATTAACATTTTAAATTATAGTTAACAAGAACTGCAAAAGATCTACAATACATTTCTCTTTCCTCAAATTAGTTGGCACTTGCAATAAATCTTACTGGGAATTATGGAGTTAAATTATTCAAAAAGGAATCAATTTTGTGTCCCACAAGACATAAAACCTCGAAACATTCAATACGTATTTAGTTTAAAAAAAATATGAGCCATTTTTAATTAGCTATTTGGGTGATTATATAATTTTAAGATCTCAAATGAAAGCAGAATGCATTAAAATTTTTGTCACATATCTTGTTAAACGTACTTAATTGTAATATGAATATGATGCTGATAAATTTTGGTTGCAGTGATTTTTAGACTTACTAATATTTATAAACTATTGCTTGAAAAAGGTACAAGTTTTTGAAGAAAAAAAAATCTAGTTTTGTTACCTGAGATAATTTTGATTAGTTTAAATGTGCCGAAATTACCAAGTAAAATATTTTTTTAAGATTAAAATCGACTCATAACTTAACAGTTCTTTTTTGGATTTAAAGAAGTCTGATTTTCTTATTTATTTATATAATAATTATGGTCCGCACATGTTTGGAAATGTCAGAACATAAAAAATAATAAATTTTGCAAGTTTTAAAATTATTAATTGGCACTTGAATATTATTCTGAAGATTCGTTGAACCCTTCATTATATAAAATTAATTTGTACTACTGTAAAACAAAATTTGTACTCAAATTTAAAGTTAAGGCGTCAACACTCAGGATTAATCTTTAAAATCCCAAAAAAATCTAAAAGTGATGGATATCCTAAAATTTTGAATAGCTACAAAATCTTTATCACAAAAAGGATTTATTTTGCAAATTTTATGATTTATAGAATTGAAACTATCAGGGACATGAGCAGAAATTAATAGGTGCCATAAATGAAAAAAAAACCGAAATAAGCAAAAAGATAATATAATCAGGCTTTTGAACTCGGTCGTTACATTTGGTATGAAATTTTATTTTCAGGTGAGAGGCTCCTCCTTTCTGGTTATGTCCCTGAATCTTGAGTGATAATGCCTTGAATAAAACCGAATCCTATTTTAAAAATTTCTAGGCCTTCAAAATTTACAAAGTAAATTTTATAATCGTTAAATTTCGATCAAACCTTCACAGCACTACTTGTTGAAAAGCATAAAAACCAGTGATCTGAAAAAGATCATAAAAGCTCAAATAAATTTAAGTTAAATAAAATTAATCTTTACTCGTTTAAATTAATTTTTGAGTTTAATTTCAATTTTCTTTAAAGATTTAAAATGAATCAAAAAGTTGGAAAATGACAAAAATTAGAAATATGAAGTCTCAGAATAAGCAATATGCAAAATTCAAACGGCAGTAAATTATATCAGTAGTCACACAATTGCCGCTTAACTGCATTAAATTTAACTCTTCGTTTTGTTCGAATACCTGTACAAATATTGAGATAATTCTTTGATATGTCAATTTTATGTATAAAATTTAATTTTTCTATATTTTTTGTGTAGCTATCATTAAGTTCTGTTAATGTAATTGGATATCTGTAAATAATTTTTGTTAATATACTCGAAATAAAGAAATCAAATTGAACTTTAAGTTTGGCTTTTTGTTTCTGCAATCATAATTTCTTAATTTCAGGCAAGCTATTTCTTACCAGATTTGATTAATTTTCATTGCTGATCAATGATAATTAAACTTTAGTTTTGTTAAAAGAAAGGTATTTCTATCCTTTGTATGCAAAAATAAAAAAAAATCTTTAAACAACATTTGTTTTTGGTTGTGTGAATAACCATTTCACATTCAATATTATGTTTTATTTCATAAGTGATCGTTCGCTTATAATTTTCGCATTTTACAAGAAAGGAGTGACTGTATGATTCCTTTTACGGTAGAATTTTTTCAAACAAATGTTGAATGTTCTTAAATTTAAATTAATTATTTTGAAAATAGGAAGTTATAAAAATATAGATTTTCATAACAAAAAACATATCTCTACTCCAAATCAAAGAACAGATTGTCCACTAAAAGTGTACAAAATCATAACTCAAGTCCACAAAACTATTTGTTATGAACATGTTTAATATAAATGATTTAGAATATTTTTTAATTTGTTGTATCCAACAGATTGGATGTACATATATGGTGTCATTTGTTAAATGAACTTATGACTTTAAGGAAAAGAAAGTGAAGTTCTAATATTTAAATTCATTTCCTTTTCGAAAGGATTTCCTACACTTTCTCACATTCCATTTAATGGAAGCTGAAATGATTTTAAAAAAAAATTTAAATAATTGAAGCATGTGGACAATGCTGTAGATGCATGCATTAACACAATTCATCTCAGAGTGTTGATTTACACATGGTATTTCCATGCTTTAAAAATAAAAGATAATATTACTATAACTAATATCGTTTAACAATTTTGTTTTATTCTGTATCGTGAGACTAATTTAGGAGCATTAAAAAAGGAATAGAAAGAGTCCATTCACCCAAAGTCTAAATTTTTATAGATCATGAAAAATTTGATATTTTATTTTGTCAGGTATAACAGTGCGGCGTTCGTTAACCTTTTTTCTGTGTTTTAAAAGTTTTTGGACTTAATACAATTTTTTTTTCTCGCAATTTTCAATTTCAGAGAAAGACTTCTTCGCTAAATCTAAAAACAGGTTGAAATGTAAATTACTTCGAAATATGATTAAGTTGCAAATACTTTATGCATGGAAATATGTTTTAAATTTTGAATAATATTTGCATACTGATCTTTCTATTTTGAACACATTCAACTTTTCCTTTTCAAGATACTATTCACCTTGTCCAATAATATTTTATTGAATAAAACATGATCAACAAACTAGTTTGAGCTGATTTTTTTTTATTTTTACGAATTTAGCAATTGATAATTAGAAACTATCCTCTGTCACTTTTTTAAATTTTGCTAATCTTTTGATACAAAAATGAAAGGGAGTATGAACCTTTTACTTTACTATTTATTTATAGCTTTTAGGAATTACTTGATTATTACGAAAGATACAAACGACATTACATGAGAGCAAAAAGTTTGTTTAGTTGCATAAATAATTATAAAATTGTCAATAGCCTGTTTCTTTTGAAATGTTTCGCGGTTATCCTTTGGAACTTGTTTGTTTATTAAGTGTGCAATTTTTTTATTTGGGGGGTAAAGTTACGTATTAGAATTTCAATTCTTAGTTGTTAAAGTATCTGAAAGTATGCTAAATATGTGTGTAATAAAATTCCAGTTTGAAAACATCCGTTAAAGTTCGCAGCAACTAAATTCCTTTCTAAATTGATCCAAGAGAAGAGTCAAAAAATTTCCGTCACATAAAGATTATCAGCTGAATAAAAACATACAAAAAGGTGACGACTCCAATTAAAATATATTTTATTGCAAATTTATTAAGATTTCAATGCGAATATTGAGGATTTGTTTATTCTCCTTTCATTGAAGTTATTGTAGTCATTGTTATCTTAGAATTGCGGTAGAAAATAAAATGTATCGACACGTGAACAATTCAGAATTCAATAATAGCAACAATAAATGAAAAGAATTCTATCATTAGTCTTTTGTATTTCTGCAAAAGAGTCTATGCAATAAAATATATATATGCAGGTGTCGAGTATAACCCCTAAGAAAGTAAACCTTCCTTGTTCCTTTTAAGAGACTTTTTCCCCTTTTGATATTTCTAATAATGCAGACAATAAGTTTATAGATTTCTTGTGTACATCAACAAGACTATAATCGAACTATAATTTATGTATCAATACAATGCAATTCATATTTTCTTCTTTTATCAATAATCTATAGATTCATAATTTTATGCGTACGGAAATTAAAAATCGTATTAAGAGGGTTAATAAATAAAAGCAATTTAGTGAATTACTTTAAATTTCAAAGCAAAACAGCACAGGTGTCGCTTATTATTACTTTCATCAGACTCATAATTGATCTTTTGTTCTATGAATTTAATTCCAATGGATGTAAAAAAAAATAAATAATTGAAAGTTTTAAGGATGTTTACCTGGAACAATTTTTTTTGTCGAAATCATGCAGTTGTGTAGTTATAAAAAATATGTTAACCGTCACCGTCAACAAAAAACGATAAAAAACGAAACTAGGAAATGAAATCAGAATATTCTCACCAATCTTCTGTTTCCCTTTCCTGTGATCTTTCTTAGGTTTTAATATAAAAGGATTGGTAATCATCTGAGAGTAGCAGCAGCAAAAAAAAAGATTCTCATTTGCATACGCGATGAGTAAAAGTGAAGATTCCTTTTTGCTCACACTATACGAGGGATAATTTTTTTTTTCAAACGATTCAAATCTTAGAAAGGGTGCTGCTTTTTCCTCTAACATGGGCATTATAATATAATGCCGTAATAAAAGTATATGCATAGTTTTCTCATTTTTCATTGTTCTCCATCTGCATCAAACAATAGAATATTAAGCGAAGATACTCGGATCGGAGAGAAAAGCAAAGCTAAATTGTACTAAGGGATCGCGCGACAACATTATCATCATACCTCTAACCATCACAATACAAATACCCTATACACATCGTGCATTGTGAGAATTTTTTTCTTCCTTTTTTTTCAAAATGAAATGTTCATTTGCATAAACTTATTTGCTTTGTTTTCACTTTCAGGTATATCTTTCGAAAAATTTAAATTTTTTGTCTATTTTCCTAATTGTCATAAAAAATCCTTTATAATGCCATTGAGGAACAAAAAACTTTCTCACGACAGTATTAAATAGATTCGAAAAATAAAAAATTTGTGTACCGACTCTTCATATCCAAATAAAAAAAATGAAGTACAACGATTTTTTTTAATCTCGATTTTATTTTCTATGATATTAAATTGCCGTTTCTGGAACTTCATTTTTTGCGTGCTCGACTTGCGTGTTGGAATTGTTGAAAGTGTTATTGCCGGTTTTTCTGCATTTTTAGATTGTTTTAACGCCAATTTAAAATATTTCAAAGTGTTTTAACAGATTTTTTGGCAAATATTATTACTTTACATCCATTTTAATTTGATTGAGACCCAAATGTTTGCAGAATCAGTTTATTTGCCTTTTTTAAGTATCTAAAGTAATTGCTTATTCTTAGTTCGACTATTATTTTATAATCCAAGATTTTTTTGTTTATTCCCTTATTTGTTTCTAAGCCACGTTTGTTATGAAAATCCTGGATATAAAAAGATAACTTCTTTTTACTGAACATAGAATTTTTAATAAGTGAGTATATTTGGTGAGGATGTTCATCTAATACATTAAATTTGTGAAAATAAAGCAGTGGAAATCTTTTATACTTTGCATCAAATTATTGACCTCAACTAATTTTACGGCACATTTAATTTTTCATCAATGAAAGTTCACTGGATTTTCTGAATTTATTTAATTTTAAAAAATTCGCGGCACACAATTTTGCACATATTGAAATAAACTATCGAAATATTTTCAACCATAACAAAATCCACATCGTGTATTTTTTAAAAGACTAGAATAGTCTGCTTTCTTTACTCAGAAGGGTTCATTTTTTTTTTCACTTTGAAATATTAAGTCTTTGACCACTTTAGCTAAATTGTGAATAAAGATGTTGGTATATAGCTATAAAACAACTTCATTGAGTTTTTGAAATATATGCAATCATGTTCTGGATGGCCAAATTTTTACGAGACCTTACTTGTTCCACTTTTTGTCAAACTTAGCTTTGTCTTAAGTTTGCACGATGTTCTTTGTATATTTCAAAATTTATTCCGGATTTACGGTAAAAAAAAAAATCTAGTCACTCTAGACATGCCAAAAAATTATATTTTAATAAATGGACGATTATGATGATAAGCGAATGGGTTTCTAAAGAAACTTAAAAATAAAAACTTTCGAGAATGTTAAAGAGTTATCCTCTCACATTTCGTTAGCCGACTTCACCTTTGTGTAATGAATTTAAAGCTTGAGAAATCGGGAATAAATTAGTTAATTTTATACATGCGATTAGATACCTTAACATCCAGTCCAAAATCCATTGCTAATACAACTATGCTAACCAAAAATTATTATTTTTTCTTAAAATAGCAAAAGAGCGAACAACACAAACTGGAATTACCGGCAACCTACCTTATGTTATTTATAGTTATGGCTTGAAGATTTTAGCGCCATCACAATAAAACTGATTTAATTTGCACATATACATATTTTCAAGCAAAATGTTAATAGAAACGTTTCTGAACAAAGATAAATGTGACCTAGGTCATGCTAGTATATGGAAGTATATTCAAGACATTTTTTTTCTCAAGAAGAAAATGTGCTTCTGTATGTTGTCAAGCAACAAAGTAAATCCGTAATGTCCTTTTGCTAATTTTTAACCAATCAAAACATGTCTACAAGAAATTACGCAGAAACTCAAGGTGAAAAAAAGTTCTAATGAGATGAAAGAATGAAAAATCAAAATTTTACAGCATGTTCCAAAAACTATTCAGAATTTACTCAATATCAGAAGCTTTACAGATAATTTCATTTGTTTAATTTTTTATCATTGTAAGAGTTTATTTTTTTTTGCAATCTTAATGTGCTTTACATTGAATTTAAATGAAGTTGGTGCACCTTGCACAAATTAAAAATTTGAAGAAATGAGACAAAAAACTAGTGTATCGGGTAGAAACCCAATACGAATATATTCACACCGTACCATCAAAAGTCTTATGGATAGACCAAGATTTGCTCAGCATAAGTTTGAAGGGTGGGCATGAAGTACGGCCGAGACCCATATCGACACAGTTCAAAAGATATACCTAATTTATGTCATAATTATGTCAGCTACAAAAACACTTAGTTTGAATTTTGTCACTCTCGTGAACACTATGAACCAGTATAGCTGATTTTGGTCCAAATCTCGGCCATACTTCACACTAATTTGAACCACATTTTCTTGTAAATGTTAAAATATTATTAAAAAGTAATTAAACCTGAATTATGTCGCTATTTTGTCAAGTGTTTTAAGATAAAGAATTTGTTTTTTGGTTTCCACAGTGAAGAGTAAGAACAAAATTCAGATGGGGTAGTCGAAATTTTAGATTTCGATTTTTTTTAAGCTATGCATTACAAAAAGTAATATTGGTATGTGATTTATGTCAGAATTATGTCAATTCAAATAAAATATCCAAAAAATTTTTTTGACAAAAGTACACCATAGAAAGTCAATTTTCAATTTTGGACTAGGGGCGACCCTAGTCAAAATCAATTTTGTCACTTTTTTCTTCGAGGGTTTATACAAATGGATTGAAACTATGCATAAATATTCTAGTGCTTAAAACAAATACAAATAAAACATTCTAAAATTTTTTTGAGCAAAGAACCAAAAAAGAAATACATTTTCAACTTTGGACTAGGGGCGACCTTAGTCAAAATCAATTTTCTCACTTTTTTCTTCGAGGGTTTATCCTAATGGATTGAAACTTTACATAAATATTCGAGTGCTTAAAACAAATACAAATAAAACATCCTAAAATTTTTTTGAGTAAAGAACCAAGAAGGAAATACATTTTCAATTTTGGACTAGGGGCGACCCTAGTCAAAATCAATTTTGTCACTTTTTTTATTCCGAGGGTTTATCCAAATGGATTGAAACTATGCATAAATATTCTAGTGCTTAAAACAAATACAAATAAAACATCCTAAAATTTTTTTGAGCAAAAAACCAAGAAGGAAATACATTTTCAATTTTGGACTAGGGGCGACCCTAGTCAAAATCAATTTTGTCACTTTTTTCTTCGAGGGTTTATCCAAATGGATTGAAACTTTGCATAAATATTCTAGTGCTTAAAACAAATACAAATAAAACATCTCAAAATTTTTTTGAGCAAAGAACCAAATAGGAAATACATTTTCAATTATGAACTTGGGACAGGCCTAATAAAATCAATTTTGTCACTTTTTTCTTCGAGGGTTTATCCTAATGGATTGAAACTATGCATAAATATTCTAGTGCTTAAAACAAATACAAACAAAACATCCTAAAAATTTTTTGAGCAAAGAACCAAGAAGGAAATACATTTTCAATTTTGCACTAGGGTCGACTCTAGTCAAAATCAATTTTGTCACTTTTTTTCTTCGAGGGTTTATACAAATGGATTGAAACTTTGCATAAATATTTTGGTGCTTAAAACAAATACAAATAAAACATCCTAAAAATTTTTTGAGTAAAGAACCAAGAAGGAAATACATTTTCAATTTTGCACTAGGGGCGACACTAGTCAAAATCAATTTTGTCACTTTTTTCTTCGAGGGTTTATCCAAATGGATTGAAACAATGCATAAATATTGTAGTGCTTAAAACAAATACAAATAAAATATCCTAAAATTTTTTGAGCAAAAAACCAAGAAGGAAATACATTTTCAATTTTGGACTAGGGGCGACCCTAGTCAAAATCAATTTTGTCACTTTTTTCTTCGAGGGTTTATCCTAATGGATTGAAACTATGCATAAATATTCTAGTGCTTAAAACAAATACAAATAAAACATCCTAAAATTTTTTTGAGTAAAGAACCAAGAAGGAAATACATTTTCAATTTTGGACTAAGGGCGACCGTAATAAAATCAATTTTGTCACTTTTTTCTTCGAGGGTTTATCCAAATGGATTGAAACTTTGCATAAATATTCTAGTGCTTAAAACAAATACAAATAAAACATCCTAAAAATTTTTTGAGCAAAGAACCAAGAAGGAAATACATTTTCAATTTTGCACTAGGGTCGACTCTAGTCAAAATCAATTTTGTCACTTTTTTCTTCGAGGGTTTATCCAAATGGATTGAAACTTTGCATAAATATTCTAGTGCTTAAAACAAATACAAATAAAATATCCTTAAAATTTTTTTGAGTAAAGAATCAAGTAGGAAATACATTTTCAATTTTGCACTAGGGTCGACTCTAGTCAAAATCAATTTTGTCACTTTTTTCTTCGAGGGTTTATCCAAATGGATTGAAACTTTGCATAAATATTCTAGTGCTTAAAACAAATACAAATAAAATATCCTAAAATTTTTTTGAGCAAAAAACCAAGCAGGAAATACATTTTCAATTTTGGACTAGGGGCGACCTTAGTCAAAATCAATTTTGTCACTTTTTTCTTCGAGGGTTTATCCAAATGGATTGAAACTTTGCATAAATATTCTAGTGCTTAAAACAAATACAAATAAAATATCCTTAAAATTTTTTTGAGTAAAGAATCAAGTAGGAAATACATTTTCAATTTTGCACTAGGGTCGACTCTAGTCAAAATCAATTTTGTCACTTTTTTCTTCGAGGGTTTATCCAAATGGATTGAAACTTTGCATAAATATTCTAGTGCTTAAAACAAATACAAATAAAATATCCTAAAATTTTTTTGAGCAAAAAACCAAGCAGGAAATACATTTTCAATTTTGGACTAGAGGCGACTCTAGTCAAAATCAATTTTGTCACTTTTTTCTTCGAGGGTTTATCCAAATGGATTGAAACTTTGCATAAATATTCTAGTGCTTAAAACAAATACAAATAAAACATCCTAAAATTTTTTTGAGCAAAAAACCAAGTAGGAAATACATTTTCAATTATGAACTTGGGTCAGGTCCAGTCAAAATTTAGTTTTTCACACATTTCTGAATTAATAAAAACATTTTTTTGGACAAAATTTTAAGTCACGTTGTTTTTGAATGTGCAATTAAATTTATAAAATTTGGGTCTGACGACATATAGAATACATTTCTTGTTTTAGATATTTAAAACTGTTTTGTATAAATATTAGAATACTCACACAAATTTTCACTGTAATTGGAAGAAAAAAAGTAAAAAACTAGATTTTGACTAGACCTGTCCCAAGTTCATAATTGAAAATGTATTTCCTTCTTAGTTCTTTGCTCAAAAAAATTTTTTTCATCCAAAGTTTAATTTAAAATAAAAAAAAAATCACAGTCAACTTTAGTTTGAAAAATTCGTAAGAAAGGAAAGTTTTTTGCTTTTTCTGAAGCAACGGCTGTTCCTACCTTGCTTAAAAACAATACAGCTCATCTATAGAGCAGCACGGATCAAATGTAAAAAACTAGAAGTCTCTACAATGTCTCGTTATTGAGATTTCTTACTGATTAACTTGCATGCTTGTTTGCTTGCTTACAGAAAGCGTATTTTGCGATTTTCTCAGCAATGCCACAACCTATTTGAAATCTGTTTTTTGAAAATGATGTAAAATTTCAGGCACAAACTTTTCTTTTGTGACCTTTTATAACCAATTTTGCTTCGTTTCCTCACAAAATGCAAAAACTGATTTTTCAATCTGAACAAAACCAATAGATTCACACGTGAAAACGGTGTGAATATAAAAAATGAAACTTAAACTTTATATTAATTATCGGCATAATTCTTTATTAATGAGAGAAGCGACGTGATCTGTGGGAAAAAATATTAATTTTTATCGATTTTGAATGTATTAATCGACAATCATAAAATCAGAGTTAAAATGACTATAAAGTTTCTTCATAAAGTTTTAAGTATTTATTGATATTTGTATGCCTATTCTGAAAGAATCAATAGTGTAACTTTTATTATCATCCATTTTACGCATGATCCTTTCAATTCAATTATTGAGTATAACATAGCATAACAAAAGTATAACATAATCTCGATAACAGTATTCTTCCTTAGTGCTTGTCAGTTTAAATCCTGCTTCTGTATCAGTAACCAGCAAAAATTATCAAGCTAAAGCAATTATCAAAATTAACTGGTAAGTAATTTTGAATTTCATTCAATCATCTTAAACAACATATTTGATATCCTCAAAAAACTTTAAACATAACAATTCCGAATCACGTGATCACAATAATTTAAGGATGCACACAAAATTCCGACAGTGAACAATTTGAAGCATTCACTAACGACTTGATAAGTTTTGAATTCTCTAATAAGAAGGAGATATAGCATGATACGTTTCATGTGCATGCATGACCCCCTGTGTGCAACCTTTCATTAAAAAAATAAAACACTCAAAAAAAGAAAATATTTAATAAAATCTCTTTCGTATTAATTTTTTATCCTCGCTTCTGCAATGCTTCAGTTTAAACATTAAAATCGTTAAAATTATTAGAGTGATAATCATATACATAAGAATCAGGTAATTTACACAAGTCGCTAATAATGTTTGTGCGTACATGAAAATCAATAATTTTTTTAGAAAAAAAAATGGACTACGACATAAAAATATGCAAAACAACCAGTGACCCGACTAATTCCAAACAAATTGGATGGGGTGAGAATGTTTGGAGGATTTTTGGCTGCATGAAGCCTGTTTTATCTCTGATTGGGAAGTCATATATGTTTGATATTGACAAAAAACAAGGTACGGATGGATGGGAAATACCTTTCGAAATCATATCAGGTACTGACTAAATTATGAAATTCATTTTGTTTTGATATTTTTATTTGCAATTTTTTTTTTTATTTTTATAAGACATTGAGTGGATCGGAAGTGGAGCACAAGGAGCAGTATTTTCAGGGAAAATCAATAATAAAGTTGTGGCAATTAAAAAAGTTAAAGAATTACATGAGACTAACATAAAGCATTTAAGTAAACTTGACCATGACAACATTGTCAAATTTCTGTGAGTATTTTTTATGTAGCTGTGTATAGCTACATAGTTCCTTCTTATTGAATCTAATTTTTTTATATATATGTATAGTGGAGTTTGCACACAATCTCCAGTCTTTGGAATTATTATGGAATTTTGTGCATATGGCGCATTAAATCAGCTACTTAAGGAAGGATCAAAAATCATCACTCCATCAAGAGTTGTGTCTTGGTCTAAGCAAATCGGTAATATATTTTAATATTAAATCACTCACAATCAGGAGTTATCAATTAAAAATATTTCAGCTACTGGGATGAGCTATTTACATTCACACAAGATAATACATCGCGATTTAAAATCACCAAAGTAAATAAGCATTGATAATAGCATTATATAGAAGTTATATATTTCTTGTCTATAATTGTAGCATTTTGATTGGTGACAATGAAACTATAAAAATTTCCGATTTCGGAACATGTAGAGAATGGAACGGATTAATAAGTACGAAAATGAGTTTCTGTGGAACAGGTATGTATTTTATTTAAGTTCTCTTCACCAATGATGTCGTTCATAATATTGAATTCTCATGAACCCCCCCCCCCCCCCCCTCACTCCCTCCAACATTTTTACAAGGGTTCTCAATTGTTCAAATCGAAGATTTAATTAAAACCTCTAGGAGATGGGGTTTAATTTGGGGAGGGTCAATAGACTCAATAAGAGCGAAAATTTTGGTGAATGACTTCTTAATTTATTCAATGAGATTAATTTTCTTAATGATTATTCGTAGTCGCATGGATGGCACCAGAAGTAATAAGAAATGAACCGTGTTCAGAACGTATCGATGTATGGTCATATGGAGTCGTTTTATGGGAGTTATTGACATGTCAGTCACCATATAGGAATTTTGATTCTTCTGCAATAATATGGGGAGTAGGAAATTACTCATTGAACCTACCGATTCCAACCAATTCTCCCGAAGGCTATGCACTATTAATGAAACAGTGCTGGAGTGTAAAGCCTAAAAATCGCCCATCATTTAAAATTATTTTATCTCATCTTGAAATAGCTGGAGCAGAGATACTTAGTAAATATAATGACAATTATGAAACGCTACAAAAAACCTGGCAAAAAGAAATTAATGATAAGCTAATAACCCAAGTTAATAATAGTACAAGAGTTTATGAATACGAAAGAGATTTAATTCGCAAACGTCAAGAAGAATGGAAGCATGCTAAGGATATTCGTTTGATTTACGAACGAAAATTGGAGAGAACAAACAATTTGTACTTAGAACTAACATCTTGTTTCGCGCAGCTCGAGGAAAGAGAGCGGGAAATAGCAGATCGCGAAAAGCATTATGGCTCAAATAAGTTCTATAAGAATCAAATATGTTCATTCAAAAAGCAACAGCTTGATAAATTTAGTCGTAGAAAAATTACACTCTATCCTTCAATTTCAAGTGAACTCAATTCTCCATCTCCATCATCCCCAACAAGTCCTCCGATTGAGAAATCGTCTGTATATGTACATTTTAATGGAAATTCAACGAAAACTGTTTTAAGTCAAAATCAAACAAGTTCAGCTAAGCATCCACTAAAGAAAAGACACAGGAGAACAGGAAGTGGATCTTCCTTTACAAGAAACTCATCATCCGAAAGATGTAAAAGATTAATTAGTGCTGAGACACAAACAGATCATGATATTACTGATATTTCAAAATCAGACAGTATAAGCGATAATCTAACAAGTGAAAAAATGCATTCCGAGCCGAGTCAAAGTATTCAGTCTAGTGATAGTAGTTCAGGAGAAACAGATATTGACGATCATGCACCACGTGAAGACACAACCTCCTCATCCCAGACAAATCATCTTAATATGATTAATTCCATGGCAACCTCAGTAATGACATGCAGCAATTTCAGCTTCGATGATCCCATTAAGGAATGTAGTGATGACGATCTTGAGACTTTAAGGCAAAAAGTCTCTAATCTTATCACAGACACATCATCGACTTCATCTACTTCCACTATTATAAATAAGCAGCATACAATTAAAGCTAATGACGCAGCCAGAAAACTTGATTTTGATGAAAATATGAACGATAGCATGAATATTACAACAATGACTGTACAAAATGAAAATTCAAGTCCAGATATAAATAGAATTATAGAAACTTCCTTAGCAAATGACATTAATAACGCAAGTTTATTGCGAAGAAAAAGGTACGGTAATTCTTTTCATTTGTTTCCCACCAAAATTTTAAAAAGTCATTGAGAATGGGTCTCGAGCTCTTCATTTCCTCAATATTTTAATTATCGACGGACGTCATTAATAAGCAAGCCCAAAAATCATTGAGGAAATCCTATTTTGTGAATCACAAAATCAATGTATTACATGATTTTTTCATCGTTTCAGTATTACTCGCTTGCCTGTTCGTTCCCGACGACTTCATAAGAATGCAAGTATTGATAACGAACTGAGTCCAAAACACGTCATTGAGAAGAGAGACATGTATTATGCGGACCTGTCGAGCAACGATGATACAGATGTCTTGAATGACGATAAAAGAAATAATAATGAACTTTTGAAGTAGACGTTTAATTGAAACTTAATAAAATTCCATTAATGTATTGATTTGATTGAAAGATTTAAGTCTGAAAATTTTATTTCATTTAACTTTTTGCTTGAAAAGTACATTTGTTACCATATCTACTTAAATTAGGGATTTTTTTCTCTTTTTTTTCAGAATAACAATTTATTATTTTTGGGTCTTTTTTTCCTTGTTTCGATTACTTATTTACTGAATAGTCAATAATTTAAAAGATTTATGTATTTTTTTTTTTTTGATATATCGGATGTTGGGTATTAATTTAGTTATCTATCATAAGATTGCAGGTAAATTACTTATATAATTTTATGCAGTATTCTTTCAAAGATTCCAAAAAATAGGAAAAGCTTTTCGTCACCATGCATGCACACTTGTCAATGTACGGGAAGAGTATTTGTGTGTGTATTTTTTTAATATATTCAACGTAAAGGAATTGGCATAGCAACTAGGAAAACATCTCACATGCTATTTGTTTATTATTTTTCGAAGAAAAAAATACTTTTTTGTTTGATAGAGATAGAGAGAGAGATGTTGCTTGTTTATAATTTTAAAAATTTTAAGCTATAATAAGTTATTAAATTGTATTTAAGTTTAATGAATTTATGTCATATTAACGCCTAATTTGTTACTGACAAGTTCATACACTAGATAGGAAATGGATACGGCAGGAAGTACTTTAACGAAATTTGGAGTTATTCCTCTATAAAGTCCAGGTAGACCCTCTTGTTGGATAATTTTCTTGAAGACTGATGACATCGTTGGTTCCTGTTTAGGAATTTTGCCTTGTTGTGTAAATGAAAAACCCGCTACATTTATATTAAAGCTTGTTGTTCTTACAGCTGTAAATATTATTGTGTTATTAAGATTCTAAGTCATTAAACTATTATGACGAACGATTATTTTGATACTTACTTTGTGCTTGCAATCGTGTCCGCACTAACGCAAGCGGGTACGAACAAAATTGTCCTAGACTAGAGGAAACACTCCCACAAGCCAGCAGGAGCCACATTTGAGGTACTTCTTGATCAGTATGATTGCTTAAGTATTTCTTTTTAAGTGTCTCATAAACGGCAAGATCGATTCCTGCATACGGTATTATTCCTAATATATTCGGTATATAACCTCTATAGAAACTTCGAAGTCCTTCATGAACATAAATTTTTTTTGCTGCATCTAACATGCCATTATACTGGCCAGTTTTCCTAAGTGCTAATCTCGTCTTTAAAACTTCCATGGGATAAATTGTTGTCTGCGACACACAACCTGCGACAGCACCAGCTAGAATTGATAAGATAATATGTTTATTTTTAATACTAAGCCATATTAAGTATTTACAATCCCGTCTTAATCAACAAAAAATTATTATTATTATTCATGTCATCGTCATCATCATCACAATTATGATTACATACCTACAAATCTCTCGAAAATTGACATTGGACGATTTTCTTGACCTCTGATAAATTGCTTTACTTGCTCATATACCATAAATTTTATTGCTGTTTCTGGAGCGATTTTTATAACATTAATTCCATTGCCTCTCCATAAGCCTTGCCATCCTCCCTCTTTGAGCATCCCTTTAAAACATTCTGAGATTCTTTGTTTCGAATGATGCACTTGAAGCATGACTTTTAATCGATCTAATGGTGCTGTTGATGTTCTCGATACGGCACCTTTTATTGACAAACAAACAAAAATCGTAATTATTTTATCACACGTTGCAGATTTTGTCTAATTTTACCTGCACATGCACCGGCAACCAAATGTCGCCACCTTTAGCAACGAGTAGGAAGTTAAATATTTGATTAGTGATACATTATTTCTTTTCATCAACGGTTAGGAAGTGTCATAAAGATGATGATAATACGGTAAATTAACGTACAAAACAAGTTGACAACTTTTCAAGTTCTCCTGTCGAACTTAGTTTACGTAATTATGACGCTATTATCATATTGTTTTTGTCAGATGCTGCCTGTCAAACTTACCAGGTTCCTGTCTCCAATTCGTTCTGAGTAAAATCATCAGGTACATTGAAGTCTTCACCAATGTCAAGATACTGTAAGAGAATGATAAATAAGACATTATCATAACATTTTAAATGCACTAAAAGCAGCAATTTTGAACGAACAGAGAATATTTGTGAAAGAAAGAAATCTAAATCGTAAAAATAGTCAAATTCTTACATAAATTATATACAAAAAGAAAAATAAGTATTTTTATAGGTATGTACAAGTATTGTGAAGAGGTGAAAGTACACATTTTATAAATGAAACAAAATTTTTTAAGCTGTAAATGAGTAGTAAATAACGTTTTTTGAGCATTAAAATTTATATTAGCAATACAGCATGCTTAAATGCCATGTGATTTGAATGTTACGTATATAATCCATTTAATAGTATTAGTAACAATGATGACGTTTAGACTTTCATATGGAATTTTATTTTCTTGTGTATTACAAGAATTCATCAGTATTATAACTGGAAATAACTTCTTCGTCGAAGTGTGATTTCATTTCGATTTCATTAGTACACTTAACATTTATACGTCACTTGTAGACCACATGAATTTGATTAGGCTTGTTAATGGACACATAAACTGACAATACTTACACCTACCCTAGTTTTTAACTCTCTAAATACATATTTCCAGTCTTCTAAAACATCACCAGATATCACCACACAAGATCTTTGATAATAGCTTTGCTGCAATCTATCCATTTTGACTAATTTTTTTTTTTGGGCTAATTTATATACACGACGCTATCCAAGTTTCTAGAAAATTCCACCACTTCTATTTTATATTCTTTTACTTCCTTTCCAAAATTATTATTTTTTTGTTTCTTTAAGGACGCAACTTTTTTATGTCTTAAACACTTTGCAATTTTTTTTAAACTAAAATGTATTTCAAAAAAATTATTTCCCTATATTATAAAATACATCCGTATCGTTCCTTAGTATTTAAAATAATGATTTTTTTAGGTTTCAGCACATGTCACATATACAAGCATAGTTCCTTCATTTCTGCCTTTGTGTGTGCATCAAGCTGTAATATTCATTCATTCTTTTGAAGGTTGATGCTATACATATATGCTGATAAATCACAAAAAATCAGTTACCACAGACAAGTCGAAAATGTCTCTTGAATAATTGGTTTAATTTCTAGTCTCGTTTGTATATTTTTCATAGAGAAATAAAGTCAAAGGCACGAAATATCGTTTTTATTGGGCTCACGTGTACTACACGATGGAGTTTCCAACTTTTTTTTTTCAATCAGCTGCTCATGACGTCACTATATAATGCAAAGGAACTTCCACACTAAATGTATATAATTTCTTTCACAAACAATCTCTATAGTTCTGTGAACTGTTATGAATTATAAACAATTTTTACGAAACTTACCGTGCTATGTCGCCAATATTTAATCAAGTCATGGATGTTATTAGTTGGTGCTAATATCAAAAAGTCTCTCCATTCGTTGAAGCTAATAAACAGACTTCCATCCTGGTCCATTCTATATATCCAATGCAATTACATAGAGTATAAATATAGTAGCTATTTAAAAATAGTATCACCTTACCTATTGAATAACTTCATTGCTTCGTTGTTATCCATTTTAATGCCCAATGCTTCGAATGACGAGATCATTTCTTTTAAATCAACTTTTCCATCCTGATTTTTGTCGATGTGAGAGAACTGCAATCTAAGGCTTTTCTCCTGATCTTGCAAATAATTTACAAATTCGTTTAATGAAACATCCCCAGACGATGTACGATCTGATTTATCAATAAAACTCTTAAACAAAGTAGTAAAAAATCAATATAAACATTAATGACCTCGTTATGACTAGTTCCGTTAAGAAGCTTGCGTAGCAATTATTGATTCCAAGTAATGAAATCATCAAAATTAAGGCATGAAAAGTGAGTAAAAGGATGAAACATGAAACACTTACTTGTGCATATTTCTCGCAGCCTAGCTGAGCTTTTAAATCATCAAGATCTATTTTTCCATTGTTGTTTACGTCTAGTTTCTTAAACAGCTTTTCATATCTTTTTCTATCTTCTGGATTTATTCCTGATAAAACCATTTTTTTAATAGTTAATTCTTCTTCTTTGTCGAAATTCAGTTTAAGTTGCGTGTTCCTTGTTTTTAGGAAAATCCGTTCATTCAATAGTCAGAATTTTGATATCACATGTTTAATTTATTGCCATTTTTATGGCATTACTAAGTACGTGCTTATTATAACTTAATTAATTAATAAAATCGTGAATTTCTAAAGTTTTATGTTTAAAAGATAGTCATATCCAGAGTTGTAAGATATTGCAAACTTCTTTCTGCGGTACACAATGTGTTCCTCAAATAAATCTTAAATTAAGAATTATTTGCTGGATCTTGTCCAATTAGAATTTAATATTTCTTCTTATTGGATCTTATGATTGAGGATATTCTATGTACCTGCATTGACCTTAATAAGTATTAGTGACTGAAATAAAGGAATAGAAAAAGTTTCAGAAGTACTGGATTTTATATCTAAATGATGTTAGTGATGTGTCAAACTTGTTTATAGATTTTTCTCCCTTTTTAAAGTATGATTTATGAGATCTAATCATTTATGCTAGCTTTATCTTCATTTTTGATGAACAAAAATCGACTAATTAGCTCAGACACGTTTGATTTAAGCAAAAGAGTAGGAAAGCATGAGAATATCTATGAAAAAACGAACTTTGCAGTCTGTTGATACGAACAACCTCTATAATTATCCATTCGACTGTGTGTCTTAGAAGTTTGCGTTTCGATTAATTTCTTGCTCCAAGCACTATAAACTTTCCGAGGAACAAAATCATTTTATTTTATTGCCAATTCTATATTCGTATGTCCATACAAAATTTAAATACATTTGGTGAGTAAACAAAATTAAGCTATAGACAAAGAGATTTTAAGAGAAAAAAGTCTGGCGAAAAATCTAGAAAATGTCGGACATGTTTATATTACCTACTCACTCTTCTCGTTTATGTATATATTTTTTTTTCAACATTCTGAATTTTGGAAATATTGAATCTAATGTCCTGGATCTTTTTGTGTCGTTTATAGACCCATTTGCAGACGCAATAAAGGGCACAGACGAAGATGTTCAAGACGGTTTAGTTCACATAAGAATTCAACAAAGGAACGGTCGCAAGACATTAACAACTGTCCAAGGATTATCAACAAATTACGATCTCAAGAAGATCGTAAGAACATGCAAAAAAGTAAGCATTATTAGTTGTTATAACATTTTTGTGGAAAGTGATGTGATGTGATGATGATTTGTAACTTTCTCTTTCCAAAAAAAAAACTTTCTTCAGGAATTTGCCTGCAACGGAACAGTCATCGAACATCCAGAATACGGTGAAGTTTTACAGCTACAAGGAGATCAACGTGAAAATATTTGCCAATTTTTAACCAAAATGGGCTTAGTGAAACAGGATCAACTCAAAGTTCACGGATTTTAAGCTATGTGCGCTGCTCCTTATTAAATTGATTATAATTTTTCATTGATATATAAATAATATATTTTGTCTCTTGTCATTGAACGAATGAATGAATATATTGAAGGATCAAAACTATAACATCCACAAACACTGGAATTTCATGATTATTATATCTATAAAATAAAAAAAAATCACATAACACGAACGATTTTTCCCTTTTCGCTCATATTTTCTTTTATTCTCCTTTCTATTAATGTTGGCTTTTGAATTTTCTCATTAATTAATTTGTTTATTAACAAAAAATAAAGTATATAAGATGGAATTACATGAATTACATAGACAAATAAAAGGATTCTTTTCAAAAGTAAATTGATATAAATATGTGTACATATAGTAATAAAGATTTTAATTTTTTGCTAACAGCGCGATTTTCCATTGAGCTAACTTAGTTATTAAGCATGTCCCATAGATCATCTTCCTTGTCGTTTTTGCCCTTTTTACTGTTGCCATTAGTGCTTCCTTTAACACCCGACTTGATATCTAAATTTTGGAAATCGCTGGAAATGTTTGTATCACGTTTAACTGTCTTCTCTGTCCTAGTAAATTCCTGGAACTTATCGTCTGAGTCATCATAGTTTTGACTGCAAAATTAAATAAATTAGCATAAAGTACACTATCCGGTGGTATTAAATTCACTTACTATGATTGATGACTTCCGTTGTTACTTGCATCGCTTTCAGGAAAAGTCCAATCTTCATTAATTGCATGCTCGTTGCCTGTATTATTATCAATGTCATTGTAGCTACTCGATCCTGCTATGCCACCGAAGCCCTTCTTTCCCAATTCAGAAACCTGCGCAAATTATGATTAATCTTTGTGAATCACAGACTTTTGGAAATATATTGAGGCATACGCAAAAAGAAAAAAAGTACAATAATAGCAAATAAAGATAACTGACCTTAGAAGCCAATTGAGTGACTTCTTTACCAGCAATGTCTAGTAAATTTGATTCTTTCACCTTAGTTGTTTTTTGATAAAATAAAGAAATCATAAATAATAACGGAAAATAAATCATAAAAAAAGTCTATTGAAACACACTTTGGACACTTACTTTTTGAGTAGCTATATTCCCATACTTGACAGCATTGTCTTTCGCAGTCAAAGCAATTTTTGTTGCACTAGACGAAAGCATGCTCCATCCTGAAGACAACGACGTCCATGTAGTATCCATATTGAAAAACTCGCTATTACTTCTAACAGGTGGATTTGAAGCTTGATTGCCAAAACCTGTTTAATTGTAATAATTTATTAATGTGAACTTTATAAAAAACGAAAGTCAAACACTTGACGACTTGCCTGCATAACGACCCCCTTGAGAAGGAGGAATGTGATCAGGTCGCATAGCATTTTCATTCTGAATTCTATCAAAATAGCGTTCTTTTTGATCATAAACTTGTCGACTATTGGCATTTTGGTAGCTTGCTTCATCAGTTTGATAATTGGATATTGCACCTGTACTCTTGGATTGTGGAAGGCTCCTTTTTTGTTTTTCAATGTTTTGCTTTGCACTCTGAATATCCCATTCTCGTCCTTCAGCCAGTGCTGTTATTTTATCTCTATATAAAGCTGCTGCTAAGCTATTGTATCGCTTGTTGATATTGTCAGATTCATCCCAAGTCTCTTGAGAATCGAAAAATTCTCTTGCCTGTCTATTTCCACCAACTTTCATTTTCTCTAATTCGATATCCTTTTTTTTAAAAAAAAACAAAATGCCAAACAGTCAATGACACATATATCCAAGGTTTAGAGATATATAATATTCACATACTTTCCATTTATCCATTGTTACCTAAAACGTGTGATGCAAACAAATGATTGTAAATAACACTGTTGGATTTTAAATGAAATTAAATTACTTACAGATCTCACGAAGCTGACATGAACGCCCAAGCCACCTGTAGAAAGGAATAGAGCATTAGAATTTATGTAAAGTATCATCATTCACATAATATAACAGATTTTTTATAATTTTGCTTACGTGTAATGATATCAAAAAAAGCATAATTAATACTTACGATGTTTCCCTGAGCATTCCAAACAAATATAGATACCGTACGTGACACTGACCCACTACAATAGGAAGTAAATTTTGTGATAAAATTCATTATCAGCATGAAAAGCATATGAAAAATCAAATTTATTACTTGTGGACTATGAGTATTGCATTCGAAGCATTTATTATTATTATCGACGCTCTTAAGTTCCTGTAATATTCTTCTCGTCCGTGGAGATGCCATGATTTATGAATTAAAACACCTTTTCTGTGAAATTCTTAGAAAATAATAAAATAAAAGAGTCTACTAAAAACTAGTGTAAAATGAGAATTTAGCTCATTTTTCAAGCACTATTTACTCACTTTGTCAATCAATATCAATATCATCCAAACTGACTGGTTTAATAGAGGGCTTGGTCGTTTGTTGAATAAGTGTCAGAAATCGAGAAGTTTTCACTTTTTTCTCATTTCCTGGACATCTATATTTGTAAATAATCAGTAAGTATCATAGAGTTTTCAAAAACGCGTTATTTGACATGAATTTCATAACATAAGGAACTTTAATTAAGTCAAAAAACAGAAAAAACAACCGATTTCTGACACTGAAAAAAAGTTCCATTATTTTGAATTTTCACAAAAAATACTAATAACTTTGCGAAAACTTCATTACAAGATACAAAAATCATACTCAATTGTTGATTTATTGTGCTATTAAAATCTTCAAAAAGATTGTTTAAATTAGTTAAATTAATGATTTTTCTGAAAAACTTTTTTCATAACGGTCAAAATTTGAATTATTCCATTCGTTTGTTTACATCACAAAAAAATATGCGAATTAAAAAAATCGTTTGAAACTCATTAATTACACATATTTGGAAGCTGAAAAATTAGGAACAGATCAAGAAAAATTTATTGGATGCATTACAATGCTCAAAAGAAAACATTAATATTAATTTAAACGATATTTTGCAAAGTAATTTTTCGTTCAATGGAACTTTTTATTCGACTGAGCTCTAGAATAATACTGGGGGTCCTCGATTTGAGTAGTCATTTTGTTCCAAAAAATTTCTACTCAAATCGAGGCAAAGAATCCATACAAAATCACATGTTTTGTTCCAGAGTCCAAAAAATGTATCAAAACAATGAAAATTTTTATAATTTTTTGCACATTTTACCTAGTTTCTTAACTTTTCTTTTGTGTTTTAGATAACTTAATTTATTTCAACGCATATTCATATTGTTTTTAAACAGAAATTCACAAAAAATATGTTTTTGAAACAAAACAAAAATATGAGAACCTTGCAAATGTTATTTAACCGAACAATTTGTAGGGTTTTCGAATTTGAACTTTTTAAAACCGTTAATTTTATATCGATTTTGTAAGTTTTTACTTGAATTTTGTAACTTTAGTATTGATTTTTCGATCAATATGATAATTTCACGCTTATTGCAGAAAAATTTATGTTTTAAAAATATTTTCTCAAATGTTCCCTAACACACAAAGAGCATGCTCTTGATTAAGAGTACGGTTGAGAATACGCTTATTTAACATCCTCTCAAGATCCCAGTAAAGAGCACGCTCAGTAGCGGACTCAATCATCCTCTAATTATAAATAACCTGCATGCAAGTTTTTACTTCATAATCTTTTATGTACTCTCAAGAGCATGATCAGAAGAGTATATAAGAAGCATGATCACTCACATCCTCATGAGATTATGTTAAAAATTTTCTTGCTATATACTTCACAAGCGCTAGCAGAAATCACTATTATAAGTAATTATTTTGGACTTTCTATAGTCTAAATATGTCTTTTAGCCATTTAAAAGTTATTAAATTTCAGAAGGCATTAGACAAGATGAACAGTTATCAGGACAAACTACAACACAGCGTACTCGGGTTTGAATCACAGCAATAACCAAAAAAAAATAAAAATATCAAGTTCTCAAAAACATGATCAAGAGCATAATCACAAGCTCATAAATTTTTTTAATAGTAAAATCAAAGCATGATCAGCAGAACATGTTCTTGATCACGTTCTCAAATTTAACTTGCATAAAAAATTTGCAAGTAGAAAAGCGTACTCTTGAGAGCGTGATTTCTGTGATACCCTGCTGCGATCTCCATTTGTATGGGAGAGTACGCTAATTTAGCGTCATCAAATTAAAATATTGATTTTTAAAAATCATGCTCAGATCGTGCTCTTTGTCTGTTAAACATTTTTATCAAAAAAATTTGTTTTGTAAACAATTCAAATCGAAGAAAACAGGAAGAAATCTACTCGAATCGAATATTTTGGTGGGTAAAAATTTTCTGTTTAAATCGAATCTACTCAAATCGAGGACCCCCAGAAAAAACTTATTAAATGAAATATTACAACAGACTTGCGTCATTTCGTATGTTGGCAGTTATGTAAAATTTTGAAAAATTCAAAATTTATTTTCCGTTAAAGCATAAAACAAAATTTTGCTTTAATTAAGCTACAGATTATGAAGCTTTTCGATCAATATCACTAATTATGTGATCAGTAAGTTGTTAATCATTGTTTCAAGCAGTTTCAAGTAAGAAAATTCCTAAATTAAGAAAATTCAGTTGAAATCTCTTGTTTCCTGATATTCATGATTTTAAAGCTTATCAATGTTCATAAAAAATAACAAGCTTTGATTCTAAGCGAGTTGACAGTAGTTATCATAGCTAAAATGCTCAAAATTCTGCATAGAATTTTTTAAAATTTTACCGGTTGAATTGAGTTTAAATTTTCGAAATAAATTTTGAATTTTTTGAAGCCAATTTCGAATTTCTTCGAAATGAAATGACGCAAGTCTGTATTACAATGTATGAAAAAACGATTATTAATATTAGCCCTGGCATTGCTTTAAATTAAATTTTGCTTGACAGATGATAGTGAAATGAGGTTTAATTTCTACAAAATGAAATAATGGCCAAAAAATGTAACATAGGGGGGGGTGTCAAGAAGTATGTAACGTTCTAAGTTCACGAAAAAAATTTGTTAACAAATTCACACCAAAAACATTTTTTTTAAATTTTCCACCTTTTTAATGATTTATGAATGTCCAGATCACTTTTGATAGCTAAGCAATACATAGTTTTTGTTATATAAAGTAACAAATCAATAGAAAACTAGTTTACAAGACTTTAAAATACAATCATAATTTGTGGAAATTTTCAAAATTAAATCAATCATAAGTTTAAAAGTAAATCTCTCTAAATCTGTCATTCATATGATGATTAATATGATCCCATCATTGTGATATTTATATCAAAGTTGATTGAATTTTCCAAATTCGATCGGGCATAATATTTTTCATGACATTTTTAAATTTTCTTCAAAAAAAAACAAATTTTTGCTTTCTATCTTAATCCAATAATTCATGAGAATACTAATAGTATCAATCAAAACATGACCTATTAAGCTGTACAGTATTTTGATGTTTAAGAAAAAAAAAAATACAAATTAAATTTAACCGTCTTTTTAGATTTAAAAGAAATAAAATAAAATTATGAACGTTCAGGGGGGGGGGGGGGGGGGTTGTGAGTTGTAACATATTGTAACAAGGGGGGGAGGGGGGGGGGGGTGAAAAAAGTCGTTTTTTTGCGTAACGTAATAAGTGAACGGCCCCCTATATGTTTAACTTAACAACAAGTAGATATAAAGAATAGAATAGAAAGAGGTAGCATAATTTTACTACATAACTGGTTTTGGAAGTCTATGCATCGCTACGAAAGGTAAGAATCAGCGTCATAATTTCCGAGATTAGCAATGAGATGATTAGCATGGTTAATTGATTTTGAATAGAAATTGTCAGTAATTTTATCGATATTATCTTTAATTAAAGGAACGTTAGCGGAATCGTGGATATCTTTAGTTGATTTGAAATCATCCCAATGAACGTTTAAAATCATACGCAGAATTTTGTTCTGAAGTAATTGAAGTTTGTCATATATGACACTTCGCAGCATTTGCAAAAACAGGACAAGCATAAGTCATGATTGGACGAATGTAGGATTTATAGATTCTTAAATTCGAGTCAAGGGAAACATGAGAATTTCTTTTCAGAAGGCACTAGAGACTAGAGAAACAAGATGCGTTGGCTTTATGAATGCAGTTGTCGATATGATCTTTAAAGAGCAATTTATTATTCAAAATAACTTCAAGATATTTAACTGAAGACTTCCAGTCACAAGCTAGATACAGAATTTGATCACTCCGCATTTTCTGAAGCATTTTTCTCGATTAAGTGAATATTGAAAATTCCGTTTTGGATTCCACGTTGATCGAAAAAGTGAAAAGTTTGTCAAAAATTCAGCTTATATTCTTATGTTGTAGACATTGGTCCCTAGTTAATAGGAAAAATAATTTTTTCCCCTAGAAGTGCCTGGTCCACGAGAAAAGAAGGTTTGAATTTTTGTACTTCATATAATTTTTAAAATGCTGTTGTGCTTCACCCACATGATATACTTTTCATTCATATTGGCTCCTAAAAGTTGAAAAAAGTTCGAAAAAAATAGTATAACTGGTCTCCTAGCTGCCAATGAGCTTCAATTCCTTTTTAAATACATCAATACTACTTTAAGATTTACAACAGTTCTAAGCAAAAATGTCAAGCATAGGTTTTCAGATTCGGTAACATTTGATACATTTTTCAAAATTTTGATGATATTTACTAGAAATTACATCTTTATATTGCTTTATATGACTTTATATACCATTGGAAAGCTTTTTAAATGAACTATATGAAAATTGTAGATATGTTTAGATTTAAACTAGTTATAGCAGCTCTATTGAGCATTTAATGGTTTCATATATCACTTTTTGCCTAAATTTTCAACAAAATTGTTTTTTCAATTAAAAACTTTTGTTGTGGATGTTAAGTACATTGCTTTTTGAATAAAACCTGAAAATTTCAGTTCCTTTCATTAAGACTGGTGTGTGAAAATTCATTTTGAATTTTGAGATATCTCACTAGGCAAACTTCAGGCTCATATTTTGAAGCTTTCCGGCAAGTGATTCTTTTTTCTTATTGCATTAATTGATAGAGCATACTAAAATCTACAAATTAATGAAATAAAATTTGGTAGTCAGACATGGACAGTGGAACATAATTGAGAATAAAGCAAAAAATATGCAAATTTTTGACTTCAAATTTAATTTTCACTACTCAAACTACATAAAATCTGTAGATCATGCATGTAATAATTGTAGATATAACTAAGATCTATAATATACTGCTTGTTATAAAAAATTAGAAAGTCTTATATAGTCATGAGGTCCAAAAAATGCCAAAAAACCTATTTTTTCGAACTTTTTTCAACTTTTAGGAACCAATAGGCACGAAAAGTATATCATGTGGATAATTATAAAAAAGCTCTAACTTGTATCTATTAAATAAAAAAAGTTTGAAGACAAACGGATAAGTAGGTGAAGCACAATAGCATTTTAAAAATTACATGAAGTATAAAAATTCAAACCTTCTTTTCTCGTGGACCAGGCACTTCTAGGGGAAAAAATCAGAGGTCGAAGTCGATGAAGCAAACTCACTTCACTTCACTAAAATTTCAATCGGTTTCAAGTCAGCTCGAGTGAACTCATTTTTTTCGTGTTCACTCGAGTCGACTTTTAACCGAGTTGATATTTTCGTGTTCACTTTAGTCGACTTGAAACCGACTTGATATTTTCGTGTTCACTTTAGTCGACTTGAAACCGACTTGATATTTTCGTGTTCACTTTAGTCGACTTGAAACCGACTTGATTTTTTCGTGTTCACTCGAGTCGACTTTTAACCGAGTTGATTTTTTCATGTTCACTTTAGTCGACTTGAAACCGACTTGAGTTCACTAAGGAAAAAAAATGTAATATACCAAACTGATTTCTGCTAGTGCTTGTGAAGTATATGTGATTACATACAAAATTGCAGAATTTGTCCTTTTTTACTTTTCATAACCATATAGCAAACTAAACGAATTAATTTAAAATATTTTTCAAACTTCCAGTTTATTATAATTCAAGTTTTAAATTTTTTTCATTATTTATGTTTGTACCTTAAAGAAATTTAACTCTATAATTAAAAAAGAAGTGTTATATTTAATGGTGAAATTAAAAACAAGTGAGAAGAAAAATAGAATTTACGATTCATTCAGTGCACTTATCAATATATCAATGTTGTCAAACAAATAAATATGAGATTAAAATATATTCACCAAAATTGGAAATATGGTGTGAATTAAAATAATTCCATTCATAATTGTAGCAGTTCGTAATAAATAATTTCAAATCAGAAAAATAATCTATAGTGCAAAACATTTATAAAATATATGAAATCTAAAAAATATTTTAAATTAATTCGTTTAGTTTGCTTTATGGTTATGAAAAGTAAAAAAGGACAAATTATGCAATTTTGTTGCAATTTTGTATGTAATCACATATACTTCACAAGCAATAGCAGAAATCAGTTTGGTATATTACATTTTTTTTTCCTTAGTGAACTCAAGTCGGTTTCAAGTCGACTAAAGTGAACATGAAAAAATCAACTCGGTTAAAAGTCGACTCGAGTGAACACGAAAAAATCAAGTCGGTTTCAAGTCGACTAAAGTGAACACGAAAATATCAACTCGGTTAAAAGTCGACTAAAGTGAACACGAAAAAATCAACTCGGTTAAAAGTCGACTAAAGTGAACACGAAAAAATCAACTCGGTTAAAAGTCGACTCGAGTGAACACGAAAAAAATGAGTTCACTCGAGCTGACTTGAAACCGATTGAAATTTTAGTGAAGTGAAGTGAAGTGAAACGACTTCACTTCACCAACTTCGACCTCTGGAAAAAATTATTTTTCCTATTAACTAGGGACCAATGTCTACAACATAAGCATATAAGCTGAATTTTTGACAAACTTTTCACTTTTTTGATCAACGTGGATCCATGATGTACTCCTGAAGAGACAACAAAAATTGACGAATGTTGGAAGTTTAATTATTAATATTATTATTATTATTATTATTTGTTTATTCTCTTCTTCTTTACTTTACAAAAGACGTAAAAGACGTTCAAAGAACATTAAAGATCTCAATTGGCATTTGACGGAATTTAACTGTTTCTCAGTGTTTAAAATTACAAGTGGTGAAGATGTTGAGTTAAAAGTTTTGCAATAATAAGTCAAACGAATGTTTACAGTAAAATACTTCAATAATAACAGAATTTCTTATAAAAAAGAGATAATAAATATCCGGAACATCAAATTGACATTTAGAAGCTTTAAACAACAATTAAGAATGCAGAGCAAAACAGGATTAAAGGTGAATTGTTTCAATAAGGAAAATACAAAATAACAAGCAGTTATTTTAAGTTTGAAAACTTTTTTGTTTTAGGTCGCTCCAAGTTTCTTCAAGTAATCTCCTGATAGGAAAATGACATCATCTCTTCGTTGCGGATTTGACATTTCAAAGACCATTTGAAAGTGTGCATATGAGGTAAGTGCTTTATATCTTGTGGAATATTGTTGAAAATTTTAACACCAAATGATGTGATTCTTTTTTGTCCATAGTTTGTTCTCGAAAGCGGTTTAATCAGCTCACCAGCTTTCCTCGTTCCACTGTTAGATGTAATTCTTACAAATACAATATTTGTGTGGATCTTGCGGGCCAGATTATTGTATATGAAGGTAGCTGAGTTGACAAAACTAATTGCACGTACAGGAAGGCAGTTCTGGACCATGTGAGTATACATGTTCACTCTATTTTCAAGAAAGTCAATGTTAAATACACTTCTCAGCGCTCGATTTTGAATTTTTTGGATGGGTGCTAACATACACAGTATAATTTAAGTGAGATTCAAAAAGTGTATGATATATAAGTTTCTTCGTAGATTGTGTCAATTTGTTCTTAAGTTTCCATAATATACCAGAGATTGAGGCCAACTTTGATTCCAGAGCTTTACAGTGTCTATCCCATTTAAGATGTTGATCCATGAATAGACCTTAGTATTTCACTTAATCCACTCTCTTGATGCAGTTTTCGTTTATGTTGATCATATCATTGTCGTGAATTTTCATGAATGGTGAATGAAAGATTATATCAGATTATATAATTTGTTTTTTCAAAATTGAGATATAGGCGTTGCTCTTCAAAGAAATTTAATAACTTTTTAATGTCTGAGATGATTTTGTCATCTATCTTCTCATTTTTTTTATGGCTGTTGATAAGGACCGCATCATCCGCATAGAGGAACAGTTTTCCTGTAAGATTCAATGATGCAATGTGATTGAAAAATATTATAAATAGAAGGCTTCCTAATATTCCTCCTTGAACAACTCCATGATCTATGGATTTTTCACTACTTGTTGCGTTATTGATTTTAACTATCTGTTTGCTCGATGTCAAGTAGCTTTCAATTAGTTTAAGGGGATTTCCACGAATGCTAGAAATATGAAGTGTGTGAATTAAGCAATTTATATCAACTAGGTCAAATGCTTTTCTAATGTCCATGCACACAGAATTACCTTATTTCTTCTTATCCATCATACTCATGATTTCTTCAACTAATTCAAGAGCAGCCGTTTCAGTTCCACTCTTTGCTCTAAACCCAAACTGTTTTGGTGACATTATCTTTGCCTTATAGAAAACAAAGTCATAAATTCTCCTGTATAGTGTCTTTTCTACAATTTTGTTAAATATTGATAGCATTGACACTGGACGATAGTCGTTGATCGAAGTTTTGTTACCAGATTTATTTATGGGAATCACTAGTGCTGTTTTAAAGCAAACAGGATAAGTTGATGTTTCATAGACACGGCGAATCATATGACAAAGCATTGGGGCTAATTCCATTGCCAGACACTTGATGGATAGATTCCATCTATTCCTGCTGATGAATTTTTGAGTCCTTTAATTATATTAACAATAATGATACAAAGGCTGCACGATCGTTGAGATACGATTAAATTAATTTAATAAGATAAACGGGATATTTAAATTGCATCAATTTGTAGATCAGACCATCATGCCAAACAGAATCGAAAGCATGTTTTAAATCAAATAATACAATTCCTGAACTTCTGTTCTTGTTAAATCCAAAAGACGCATTTTCAGTAATTCTCATAATTTGATGAGAAGTGGAATGACGAGAAAGAAATCCAAACTGTTGTTGAATGATGATTTGGTGTTCTTCCTCAAAATTATTAAGTCTCCATGACTGGCTTAAACTAGACCCAGGTAATAGATAAATACTAGCATGCAATATTTACGTACAATTATAGAGCACACGTGATGAAGGGCCGGGAGAATATGTAATAAAGCATAAAATTTGAATTTTATGCGCTTATAAAGAAAGAATGTTGATGCACAACTTGTGTGTATCATAAGCGGGGCTTGTAATCAGGCTGACTATGTGAGTGTATTATGAAAAGCGCTTTTAAAGATACAGGCAATGCAAGGATAGTGTACGACGGAAGCCATATTTAACAAATCGCCATTTCTGAAAAAATACCAAAAAACTGTTAAAATAAGAATGTATTCGACTCTCTGGAGTTGATTTTAAGAGAGAAAAATATTCAGAAATGTGTCGTAAAGCACTGAAGCATCATAATTCTGTTCCTAAGATGCAAAGAATTTTGTAAAATTAGTGAAATAATTTTTTTTGGGTTTTCCTCTCATCAACAGCTGAAAAAAAAGCAATAGAACTTTATATCTATGTATGTATGTACTAACACAGTTAAATCGGAAGAATATGGAAAAAACCGATAATAATTAGTGAAAAAAAAGTTTAAGCGATAATTGTATATCCATTAAACTACACGATTTAATAAAAAGAGAAACTACTTAGAATAGATAACTTTTATAAAAAGAATCGAGAGATGTTTCATTATAATTATAAATAATTTATACATATAAATATACAGAAGAAGAAAATATATGTGCAATGACGCCCCATTTTAGTGTAACCAAGATCCATAAATAAGTTTTTAAAAATATTTTTTTAATAATTATCTGATACCTGAAAATTCGAAACTAATATTTAAACCGAATTCGTTGGTGAGTAATAATTTATTTATGCTATTACTACCCGTTTTTGACCAAAATAAACTAGCGTCATAAATAAATTAATACAACTTTTTTTTTTATTGGCGCCAAACCTAAATACTCTTTTTCTCTCTCCTCATTTTGCCTTATCTTGAGCCTAATCTTTTGATTTTAATGCCATGAATGTAATCCATGAAATCCCCATTGTCTCTCTATCAACGATCGAGCCATTAAAATAATTATTAATATCATATGATATAGAAACTTTATCGATTTTAACTCAAAATTTGCCTGCCTATTTTAACGGTATGTTCATTTTCAAAAAACTTTTTTGACTAAAAGGGCTGGCTATATGCTTGATTTCTTCGCAGGATAATCTGCTCCCCTACATATCTATTCGTTTTACTAGAGCACATAGCTCGTTCAAGCTTTCATACCGAAATATCAAGCTATAAGACACTATAATCTTAATAAAATTGAGCGTAGATCATGAAGAAGTGATGAATGTCGTCTGATTTGCTTGAGAAATGTCTAGTCAGACTGAATCTAAATCTTTCTTCCATGAAATTTTTTGTGTGTCATGAGAGAGTATGTGTTAGCTGAGTTTATGTTATTTATTTTCGGACAGAAGGAGTATGTGTATAAATAAATTAAGCGATAAAAAATGATGAAAATTGAAGGAAGTAACGATAGAGAGTGAGGAAAATTGTGTGGAAATCAAGTTAAACGAGAAAAGTGATAAAGTGAGAGAACTGACTGGAAAAATGAATGTTTGTGATTGTGTGAGTGTTTAATAAAGTGAATGCAAAATTGGAAACTTGAAAAAATAGACGCTCTAGAATTTAATAATTTTTTGACAGTGAAAATTTAAATTTTCCTCAATTTTTCCAAAATTTTCGAACGCATAAGTGTCTAAAATATCAGTATAAATTGTTAAAAGTCTGAAAGAGTGAAGCGCAAAGTGATTTTAAAGCAAACACTTACATTTGACATAAATTTTTCAAAATGGCTTTACCATTATTTATTTCATAACCTAAGTTTTATTTTAAAACAAAAAAAAATACACAAAAATAATTAATAAAAATATAATAAATTTCCTATATTATGTGGAATGGCTCAAATGGCTCAGTAATGGCTAATTTTTATGATTTTAATGAAGAAATCGACACTCTATCATCGAATACTAATTTTAGACAGCAAAATTCGTCTACAATGCAGCAACAAACAAACGACTCAATCGCTACAGCATCAACAACATTAAATATGACGGCTTCTAGTATATCCTCAAATGTTACAAGCACGGTAATGCTCGCTTAATACCGTTTCTAGTTATTAAGTTTATTATTTTAAAACAACAATTGATTAATTGCCGTGGATTCATTTTTTAGCCAATTATTGCAACCAATAATAGCAGCTCAACCAATCTCTCGTCATCGCAGTCTAGTATTTCGATGTCGGAAGATCGAGAGAAAACACCGCCGTTTATTGAAACAATCATTGAGCCAGTCAATGGAATTCTTCAGCCTGCAGTCAAGCCTCATCCGAGCAGACCAGGAAGGGCGACAAATCAATTACATTTTATACATAAAACTGTCATGAAGGCTGTCTGGAAACACCAATTCAGTTGGCCTTTTCAACAACCCGTCGACACAATTAAACTCAATCTTCCCGACTACCATAAAATCATTAAAAAACCTATGGACTTGGGTACGGTAAAGAAACGCTTAGAAAACAATTACTACTGGAAAGCGCAAGAATGCATGGACGATTTCCAGACCATGTTCGACAACTGCTATATCTACAATAAACCTGTAAGTTCTTTATCACTAATGTCGTCCCGTTTAATGATTGCTAATGATAATATTTTGCAGGGAGAAGACGTAGTTGTGATGGCTCAGGCACTTGAAAAGCTATACAGAAGTAAAGTTGCTCAGATGCCAAAAGATGAGATAAAAATTGAGACGGCTTCAACAAAAGGAGTTAAAAAGAAACCGAAAACGCCGCAAGGTACCCTTGTTGCATCAACTCCAACGACACCAGTCAGTGTGAACAAAGTTCCTGCTCCAAAATCGTCGTCGTCATCATCGTCCGTATCAACACTTCCTCAGAACTCAATTTCGTCTTCAAATGCACAAGTCTCCACAATGTTGCCATCAACAGAAAGTAGTAGCGCAGTTATTCCTGGGAGCACAAATAAACCGACTGGGATCAATGCAAACGTACAAGCAACACCGACACCGCTAGCACCACAGTCGAGCACCCTTCATAATCTCATTATGCCTCAACCAACAAACAATTCACAAATGCCAACATCCTCGGGCGGTGGCACATCATCTTTCCTTGTAAATCAACCTATGATTAATACAGTATCAATTCCATCTCAACAACCTGCAAAAGTAAAGAAAGGAGTCAAAAGAAAGGCTGACACAACGACACCGACTTCCTCCTTCAACGATTCTGGATATCCTTCAGCTGACACTAAAGTCTCAACGCGAGGACGACAGGTAATATTTCCAAAATTTTCAAATAATCTTAAACTTAGTTTTTTTTATTTTATTTAATCGTGTACCTGCCAGGACGCTTTACCTCATACGTCAAACGCTTACCCAATATCGCCAGCAAATGTACACAATAGTCAACAAAGTACGCCTAAAAATAAGGAGAAATTGAGCGAAGCGCTAAAGTCGTGTAACGAAATTTTGAAAGAATTGTTTAGTAAAAAGCATTCAGGATATGCCTGGCCTTTTTATAAACCAGTTGATGCCAAAATGCTAGGACTTCACGACTACCATGACATAATTAAGAAGCCAATGGATCTTGGTACGGTGAAAAGAAAAATGGATGAGAGGGAGTATAAAAGTGCGGCAGAATTTGAGGCTGACGTAAGACTCATATTCACGAACTGCTACAAATATAATCCTCCAGATCATGATGTCGTAAAAATGGGCAGAAAATTACAGGATGTTTTTGAAATGAGATTTGCAAATATTCCTGACGAACCAGTAACGACATATCCATCCCAACATAATAATAATAATACTAATACTAATAATAATAATAATAATAGTCAAATAATCAATGATACTTCATCTGAGGAAAGTGAATCTAATGCTGAATCAGAGGATTCCGAAGAGAGTATAGACGAGAATTCGTTGCGCGATAAGATCGAAAAGACGCAAGAACATTTGACAAAACTTAAGGAGAAACTCGATCGACTATTAAAGAAGAAATCAAATATGGTACCTGTTATGAAAAAGCATATGAAGAAAAACAAACATAGCTCTTCATTCAAAGAAACACCCAAATTAAAAAATAACAAAACTGACAACAACAACACTAAAAGCAAAGGACAAAAGCAATTGAAAACTGCAGCGGCAACAGCGATTGGCCCAACAGCTAACGTGACATTAACGCAAAGTTCTAGTGCTACAAGTGGCGGTGGTGCAACTGCTGTAAAACGAATGAAATCGGTGAGCTCTCTTTTACGCACTGAATTTTCTTTAATTTCCACTAAACAGTTGTTGTTCTCATTGCAGTCTGGCAGCAGTAATGTTCATGGAACGACACAATCAAAATCAAGTAATAAGAAAAAGCATCAACCACCTGCTGGCAATTTTAATAGTGAGGAGGAAGATAACGCGAAACCTATGTCTTATGATGAGAAAAGACAACTATCTCTTGATATTAATATGCTTCCAGGTAAAATTAGACTAATTTTTTTAATTGACTTGCTGTATACTAAAAACAAAATCAAACAAAAAATTTTATTTGTCATTCAGGTGATAAACTAGGACGTGTCGTGAACATAATTCAAAGTCGAGAGTTGTCATTAAGAGACTCAAATCCCGATGAACTTGAAATAGATTTTGAAACATTGATGCCATCAACACTTCGTGAATTGGAAGCCTACGTTGCACAATGTCTCCGTAAAAAAACCCGTAAGCCTTACTGTAAGTTTCACCCAAATTGCACTAAACACTGTGATATATCGATATATAAAATAATATTCATTTTGATATTGCAATATAGTGTTTGAATTAAGGTCCTACAATCACTTTCAAAGTAATCAATCTTTATTTTTGATTATCATTTTCTTTTAACTCACGATTTTCCCAAATAGCACAAGTCTGACAATCGAGACGGAATCTGTCCACAGGTACTAAGTCTCTGCATCGTCCTAGCGAAGGATTTCGTCTCAATTATCCGAATTGTGTTTTTGCTAATGTTAATGGTACTTTTGAAACCATAAATTATATTAGATTCAACGTAAATCTCGTGTGTTAGCTTCCCTGTAGAGCCTTATGTAGATAAACATGACAATTTCGCTTTATCATTTATTTAATTAATTTTTTTTTAAAAAAAAAACTTATTAAAATCAATCAGTGTCGTGTTAATTTGGTTGAACTGTTTCCATTTTACTATTTTTGATAATAAGTAAGAAAGTGTGTTCTACGAAGGATACAATTTGCACAGATTAAAAAACGATTGTGTGATGCTTGGTGCTTGAAAACCCCTAACGAATTTCTATATTTAATAATTCAATTTACAGACAAAAAAGTTGCGGGTAAATCTAAAGCGGAACAAATGACGGAGAGGCAGCAAGAGTTAGAGAGAAGGCTGCAAGATGTAACTGGTCAATTGGGTTCAAATAAGAAAGGCACCAAAAAAGGTAAATATATGCCAAAATCGACTAAGATGCTTAATATTATTTTTCAATGACTAAAACGGGGGGTCCATTTAATTGTCAGTGACGCTATGGTTTCTTAACTATCTCCGAAACCACAACAGTGACAAATTTCAAATTTATTTTATCTTGTAGGAAAAAATGCCCTTCTTTTGACACTTCCTAAAATTAATCAGTTGTTTCAGAAAATCTCTTTAATTAAGCGTCACTCACGAATAATTTTTGGGAATTTCGCTACAACACTGTCAATTTTCATTGATTAAATGTATTTTTCTGAGTCAAAAATTTAATTCTGTTTCGTTTGAGTTCATAAAAGTTTAAAATTGCTTCTTTAACATACTTAAATGGTGTTTTTGGTGTTTTGAATGTATTAGTATTTTTGAAAAATTCAAATTATTTATTTCCGTTGAGCAAAAATCTCTAAAAAATCGTCGGGGCCCAATATCTTTGGAATTGAATCGATCATGCTGCAATATTTTTTTTTTTCTCAATCTTTTTTAGATGATTCATCAAAAGCAAACCCTCAAAATCAAAGTCGACAGTCATCATCGAGTAGTTCAAGTGATTCTTCATCTTCTAGTTCATCGGATAGTAGCTCATCAGACAGTAGCGATAGTGAAGCAGGTTAGAGTAGTAAAATGTATATATAGACATAATAATGATAACAATAATTATTAATGAGAAAAGAGCATAGTTGATTTATAAAGTTGTAGAGAAATCTCATAACGTTAGATAATATTTAAACGTAAAATTTAATATTTTAGATTAAAACAAACAAAAAAATTAAAAGAGTCCTGGTGTTATTGACCGAGGTACTTTTGCACATTTTTGACGCAGCGATCAGTATTTTATTAGCAACAAAATGTCAGTCAATAAGCAAATAGCTCTAAAAATTTACCATTAGCAAAGCTTCCAGGATTTATTTTACAAATATTAAACATTAGCTACAATTAAAAGTTTTTGTCATTTAACGGTTTTTTGAGATTCAATTTTTATAGAATAGAAGTAAATTTGAATTTCTGAACACATCTATATAACGGAAGAAAAATTCAAATTTCTGAACTTACTCATCACACGTTTTTCATAGGTAAATGAAATATAATTATACGATAAAGCAATGGTTTTAAGCTATCCAATTTTTGATCGACGAATAAATCGATAAAACTTATCTAATAATACAAACGCGAGCTCTCTATGATTTCTGGTTCAGGAGATCACAGATCACAGCCGTACGAGCGAACTGGAGCGAACGAACAAAGTGCATTATTAAGCTACCTTTTAGAAAACAAGTTTCAAAATGGGCTAAAAACAGCACATTTAAATGCTTAACATTTAATAATATTGGTAGGTTAAGAAGAAAGAAAAAAAAATGTTCATGTTCTAATGAATTATAAGCTAAATCAATTGTATCTCTTTTGTTCCTTAAATATCATTTTTCAAACAAGAGGAATGTAACATGATGTGTATGATTTTTTTCATCATATATTATTCATTGATAATTTAATATACTTTAATTATTTTTTTAAAAGAAAAATGAAAGTAAACACACAATAGATGAAAGAGAAAATGTACTTTAATGACATAAACTTAGATATATATATTTATATATATCTTCTCATACAAACCATACTCAGATCCATACAACAGCCATTTCCTTTGCAAATAAATTAAATTAAGTTTTACTTCTAAAGACGTTCATTGATTTTTGAGCTTAATTTGATCAAAATGGTCTGGAATTCATGAAAATAAAATTTGTTTTGGAGGGAATGTATATGAGCTTGATACACACCCTTAGCTCGAAATACTTTTGACACTAGTTCAAAAAAAAAATTAAAATTTCTAGTCTAGCTGAACGGTAATTCTTTGATTCCAGTGGTGTGTCATAAAACATTCCTTGATGATAAGTAAGCTTGAAATTCAAAAGTGTTATTTGTATGAACGATCCTGTTTATTTTTAAATTAAGATACTTAGCCGTGAATTTATGCAAGAGTAAAGTAAATGAACAAATTTTATGTAGACAATCCCAGGTTTCTTTCCGTTTCGTTAGTCGTAGACAAAAAAGAAACTTTTGTATGAAAAGATATGTATGTTGACTTTCGTAAGATATTTTGTTATGTTTTTTTGACAAATGACTAATTAATTTGATATTTAAACTGTTTATTTTTTTTTAATGTATCTATAAATTATAACTTTTATAACAAGGAAAAAAAATCATTGCAAAAATGTGTATCAACGGGGAAGACCAAAAACTAGTAAAACCGCTCAAGGAAAAAGTTAAGTTTCTTTTTCATAGAACATTTTTTTAACACACAAAAAGAAAAGTAGTAGTGATACATTTGAGAAGTATTAAGAGAAATATAACAGAATTCAAGTGTTTTTATTATCTTAGCCTTGAATTATTCACTAAACGAGATAAAGAGTTAAACAAAATACTTTGCAGACAATGTGTAAAATGTTACGAACAATATTAAGAAAGTAATTCGTGCATCTTCTTAGTCTTAAGGACGTAAATATATAGTAAATATATTATATATCGTATACAAAATATTTAAATTGAGTAATGATCGTTTTTAATGTGTTTCATATCCGAGAAATTTTATGAAATCAGGTATAAATTATGAGCTTGGCTTCCCACACATTACACATTGTTTGCAAGATTTTCTTCTTTTTTTCATTACAAAAAAAAACAAACTTTATATGCAAAAAAATGAGAATAAATAAAACTAGTATAGAAGCCGCCGTTACAGATGTGAACGGACGAGCAAAGCGCATTTTCCTCGCATAGATCAGTAAATTCATATTGAAGTCATATACATTGATCCAGTCGGATACAAGTCATGACCTGAATCAAAAAACAAGAAAATAAAACGATTTTTTTGAGGTAGGGTTTTGATTCCCCTGACAATCCTCGCCCCAACCTATTCAAGAACAGCCATTGAACCTTCATGCCAAATCTCGGCTCATTTGGACATAACTTCCAAATATCCTCATGTAACGGTTTTAACGTTTTTTTGAAATTAAAATTCATTCAATATGCATTATGTACACCACTTAAACCAAAAAAATTAATTGAATTAACTTACCAGAAGAATTTGTTTATAAACTAGAAAGAATTTTTCAAAACAATAGAGAAACTGCAAACCTACGAATCAGCACCTATCTAATGCAAAAATCCCAGAAATCTTTAGTTCCGAGCACACGTGACACCCACCCAGTCAGCCAGCTAAAGTGGAACTATAAGCGCATAGTTTCCTAAGGAAAATGCGCTAAAGAAAATTAAAAAGTAATAAGATTAGTAAAAAAAAAATCTTTGACAACTCAAATCCCTTCATTTGCGAGAGTGTAAATAGATATTATTGATATATTTGTCCTATTTAATTCAAGTAAAGTCTTTTTATAAGGATTACATTAATTTTTAACATATTACTTTTTCATCACTTTTAGAGTTAAATGTGAATTGAAACAAAACAAAACAAGAAAATACAAAAAATTTGACACAATCTAATTTAGTGAATAAATCTTTAAAACAAAAAAAAACACATACCAATTTATATGAAGAAGAAAATACTAGTGACGAGAGCGCATTTTTGCCTCACAGATCAGTAAATTGTCATGAGTTGATCAAAATTTATCACTGCCAGCCAGCAGGCAATACATAGGCGCATTGGCTGTAGCAAAAATGCGCCAAAATTAATAATGAATGCATCTTTATAAAAAAAATTGAATGAAAAATAATTTAAAGATTGGCTAAGGTAATGAAACATAAGTTAGTAACATTAAAGATCTATATGTAAATATTTCTTTTCATACATGTATGCAACATATGTTGTATATTGAAAACATTTTAATAAGTGCTAAAGACATAATAAATCAATCAATGAAATTAAAAAAATATAAAAACTTAATGTTTTTGATTCCCCGTTTTAAACACATTTTTGCTTTGAATTTTTTTTTTATTAAATGTTTATTATTTTTAAGTCGAAATTTAAAGAAAGAAAGTACCAAGTAGTTATGTAACATGATATTTTATGCTTTCAGGCAATGATGTAAAATTCCCAATAATTAAAGAAATTAATATAAACAATCTCGCTAGTGAAACTAAAATACCTGTAAGTATATCAAGCTTGTAGGAAAAATTGCGAATGGGGATGATATGATTTCAAGTTGTTTGGAAAAGCTCACGCCAAAACTCTAAGGAGTCGTTCATTATTAATATCCGATGGTCGGCAAAGAGCTTAACAAATCCGTTGAAACTTAAAAGATTTGAATTTTTATATACTTATTTTGTGCGGGAAAATTCAAATTCAGGAAATACGTTATTTGATCATAATTTGTTATACTGTTTTCAAGTAATTTTGCTATTCATAAAACTAGCATTAAGTAGCTAAATTCACTTGATTCCGGGATTTTTAAAGACAATTTTTTGCCATGTTTGTTTACATTTTGATGAAAAATATTTGAAAAAGAAAACACGAAATGCTATCAAAATTACAAGAATCAGTGATTCCAGAAACAGTTTGAATCAAAGAGTACATATCCAACTTATGTTTAAAACAGTTTTCTGCAAGAAATCACAAGGTTTTTGGCTGAAAATGAACAAAATTTTCTGATTGGCTAAAGTTTAACGGATTTAGTAGGTAATATCCAACATTAAGTGAGTAACTGCAACGCTTGAACAAAACATTTGAATTATATTCCCCGCTTAAAAATTGAAAGGGTCGAAAAAGTTGAAAAATTACATGTAAATTGGCGAATGAAAAAAATTACAAAGAATGTGCATCATGACTGTAAATCATGTAATTTTCAACCTGATGACCCTTTGTAGAAAAATTATAAAACTTAAATGACGATGTAATATAAAAATTTATTTAAAGAAAACAACAAAAGCTGAACCACAAGACATAAAGATACCAATACTACCATTATTGCCGCCATCGAATGTAAAAGTTACAGAAGCAAATCTTGAGCCAATCACCCTTTCTATTAATACAATTGCAACAACTTTAGCGAATACGGAGCATCTTCCTTTCGTGACTAATTCATCGATTTCTAATAATACTAGTACCATTTTGGATGTTCCAAAGGAAACGGGATCTCTTTTAAGTCTAGAACCACATCCAAAACTAGAATTACCTACGCTACAGCCGCCAACAACATCATCATCATCATCAGCTGGTATATTACAAACAAATAACAACATTAGTAATAGTAATAAGATGGAAATAAATCAGCCAACACCAATTGTACCGGCACAACAAAATCTTCCTTCGTCTCAGCCACAACCACCAACATCTAATATGATTATTACAACAACAAATAATGCTGTGCCATTGCCAGCTATTGTCAATAATATAAATAATCCACTGCATGTTCATAATAATAGTTCTAATAACAATTCAAAATTGTCAGCAAGTATAAGCATGAATCAGTTCACAGATCCTTTAGAACATACATTAGCGTCACTTGAACAGCCCCAATTGAATATTCCTAAAAATCAGGATATTAATTCAATGTTGATGGACATACAAAAACAACATCAACAACAACAACAGCAGCAGTTACAAATGAGTCAACTTATGAGTCAAATTCCAGTGACACATCCATCAAATACAAATAATTTTGGACCTGACTTTAATGGAGTGAATGGTTTGATGAATATTTTAGGAATTCAGTCGGTTGATACAGCAAATTTGCAATTATTAAATCAACAAATGAAAGGATCAGCTGGACGATTCCCTGATGTTTGGAACGTACCCAATCCGTCTTTACCAATTAATCCAATGACATCGAGGAATAATAATCCACCGAATTGGGAGCATCAACAAGCAACGGCAATGAAACAGGATAAAATCATTTTGACACCGAAACCTATTCAAGAATTACTAGCTAATGTCAATGAGAAACCAAAATTAATCAATACAAACGCTCCTGACTTACGAGTTAATCCTGCTTTTGGTCAGTCTTTTAGCAAATATGAGCAAAATTTAAAGAACGCAAACTCTTGGTCTCAATTAGCTTCATCGCATGAGACATTAAATACGTCTAGTAAATCAAAACTTCCGTCAGATACTTTCCAAGAATTCCGAACGAAAGCAAAAGAACAGCAGCAACGGCAAAAGCAGGAAGCAGAGAAAATTAAAAGACAACAAAAGGAACAGGAATTGAAAAGACAACAAGAGAGTTTACAAAAGCAAACTAAAGTTGATGATGGAAGTAATGGACAAAGGTAAGATTTTAATCTAATTATCTCAGATTTGTTATCTAATCTTTGGATCAATTATGTCATTTTTTTCTCGTTCATTAGCAGAAAGTTGCAAAATGATCCAATAGCAAATATAATGGAAGAAATGAGAGCAGTCACACCTCCTGTGTCGGCTGAATCACAACAATCGGAACGATCTGCTGCTAGAAGGGCAGAAGAGCGTGCTGCAGAACAAGAAAGACGTCGTCGAGAAGCGGTAAATATTATAAAACAATTTAGGGTCATTCACTCTTATGACATTTAACATAACGAATAATTGTGTCATTAATGAATAACACTTAAATTGGCGCATCAAGATTAATTAATAATTTTTTTGTCTTTTATTTTATCTCTTTCTGTACAGTTGTCAAGACCAATAGATTTGAATAAGCAGGGTGATTTGATGGCTGAATTTGAGGAACTTCTTTAATAAATCATTGTAAATATAAAAGAAGAAAAAAAAAGTAATTTAAATAGGATTGAAGCACAGAAGAAATTGTAATAATAAATTTAGGATTTTAAAAAGTACATTGTTATTATCATTTCGTTTAAAAAAATACTTAATGCTAAAAGTATTATAAATATATTAATTTTTTTTTCGAAGCTTTCAAAAAATACATAATAAAAAACTGATTGTTCATCATTAAGTCTTATATTTTACAATGTTTAGATATACTGTTGTCTTTATTTAATTTTAATTCTTTCTTCTTCTTTGACACATCTTTCTTTCTCTCAGAGTTGCGATACAGGTCGCCTGTCACAGGTACAGGTGACAGATATTGTCTATCGAATCTGCCCACAGGTATAACAGATCAAGTGCTTGTGACAGGTAAAAAATATTGCTTACCACAAACACTGCCTGTTAACAGGTTAGTGACATATCGCAACTCTAATTTCACTTGATCAGAGTCTTATTTTAAAATCCAATGATGGAAAAGGGAGATTTAAACAATAGGTTTTCAAAGAATTCTATTGTCATTTTTCAAAACTAGTGAATTTTCAATTAAAAATCTATCCATCTATTGGATACGTCTCTGCTCTCGATCATTTATTAGAATTTTTAACTTTATGGGCAAATCCAAAATAAAAGGTACTGAAAGTTTTTGACATGAAAATCATGAAGACAATTTTTAGCTTCAAGTGTTTGCATTAACAAACAGTTTCATTATTCCTTCAATCCATCATCATTAAAGCGCATTTTTGCAGGACATAGTCAGTCATTTTTAAAAAATCGTTTGTCAAGTCACAAAGTCATTTAAATTTCAGAGATGTCATTTGACTTTTGAGCGATTCAATGAGCTCTTAAAAGCTATTTTAATACAGATTTCTACATTTTAATTCGCGTTTAAACATAAGTTCTGCCTTTTAGTCAGTTTTTTGGTCTATGATAGTGTTTTGATAATGAAACATTTCACCTGAATAGCTATTTTCTATTGATTTCTAAAACATTGATGTTAAAAACGTTTAATTAACCGAGCATACAATGAGTATACTCAGAGCACATTATTTGTGAGCTTGCAAACTTTTGTGAGAATGTGCTCATTTCATACATTAAAGTGATGCAATCACGGTACCTTTTTGAGTATGCTCAGTGAGCACATTCCTATGTGACATGCATTAAGCTCACTGAGTAAACTCATGAGCATACTCAAATGAGAAGGCAACATATCACACGCAACATTTTTTATTGAATATACTTATGAACATTCTCAAAGAGCATATACTCAAAGAGCTTATACTCATGAAGATACTCAAAAGATATATGCTCAGTGAGTTTATTTATGAGTATATGCTCATCTGAGCACATGCATGAGTGCAATTAAGTTAAATTTGAGTTTTATAAGGATAATTCTGTGAATAATTTTGGAAGAGCTAGAAATTATTATTAACATTTTATCTCAAATACTTAAGAAGAAAGTTTTAAAAACCGGTCACCCATCCTTGTAGAAAAACCTATTGCGTTGCTTAACTTCTGTCACCTCACACTTTTCCTTGGAGCAATTTTCTGTAAATATATAATAATTTTTATATGGCAAAACACATACTTAAATTATTATATTATTACAGGCAAACTAAGTTCTTTGAAGTTTGATACGCTGCTTAATTGAACTATATTTTTATGAAATATTTGAGTTGATCAGAGCACGATCTTGAGAACATATTATGAAAAATGTCGACCAACTTAAAATTAAACTTAGAACACATTTTTATGTAAGTCGACATTTTCAAAAATGTCGACCAGCTTAAAATCGAACATCGAATACATTTTTATGCAAGTCGACACTTTCAAAAACGTCGACCAACTTAAAGTCGAACAAAAAATACATTTTTATGCAAGTCGACATTTTTTGAAAATATTTTATGAATTCAAATATTAGTTCCATGAAAGCCAAAAGATATTGATCGTGTTTAATTCTTAGTTTTTTAAAAGTAAAGTAATTTTTAATTTAATTTCTTGATATTTATTTCAGAAAACTTAAAATTGTAAAAAGTTTTTGAAAATGTCGACTTACATAAAAATGTATTCAAAGTTCGATTTTAAGTTGGTCGACATTTTTAAAAATGTCGACTTACATAAAAATGTATTCTAAGTTTGACTTTAAGTTGGTCGACATTTTTGAAAATGTCGACTTACATAAAAATGTATTCTAAGTTCGATTTTAAGTTGGTCGACGTTTTTGAAAAATCATATAGATATAATTATGTTCATTATATGCTTATGAGTATGTTTAAGAAGTGTATTCATAAAAGTAAATACCCATGAGTATGTTCTTATTATTCTTATGAGAATGTTCAGTAAGTGCACTCATACGAATGTAGTCAAATAAGTATGTTCTTAATATTCTCATGAGTAAACTCGTTGAATGTACTCACGTGAGCTTATAAATTTTTGGCAAAAAAATAAAATGAGTGCATTCGTAATGAACTCCTGAGCATGCTCAGTTGAATGAGCTTGCATGAGTATAATTTTTGAGTAGACTCAATTATATGCTCACTTTTTTGAGCATGTTCTTTGTATGTTCGGTATTAAAGAGAAAATCGCAAATAATTGCGTCAGTTGAATCAACCGATTATTGCAAAACACATTTTTGTTTGCTTACAAAAAGATTCTTGAATATTTCTTTAATTAGACTTTTTTTGAATGGGGGTGATGTCGTTAATGCATTAAACGATGATTTATATTTCCATTATTTGTATTCAGTGTAAAAGATTAAAGATAAAACACGATTAAAAAATTTCTTTAAAAAAATGCTGGAATTTCCTTTGATCTGCAAAGATGCGTTTTAGATTAAGATTCCAATCAGAGCTGATGATAAATTGCTTATTGGTTCATTTTCTTTCAAGGATTGAGAATTTAAAATATTTACAATAGGTAGATTTTCTAAGCTTATAAGTATCACATTAGAAAAAATCTAACATAATGCATTTTCATGTTGGATAATTTTTAATGCTGGCTAGCTTGAAGCAACATCCTGTTATATTTTTTTAAATTATTAATTCTTGTCAGTAGTCATTCATTTGTGATATCCATCTTTAAGTAAGTTCTGTAGATGTGTGACACTTTAAACAACTGTTGGTCTTCAAACCCTTTAAACAAACTAGTTCTATTTTCATTATTATATGCATAACTACTTAGCAAATTTTGGCTATCTTAATTTAACATCAGTTATTTCTTCTTATCATTTTAACATTTAATTTCTAAAATTAATACTTCAATCAAATTATTGATGACTCAATTTCACTGAGGATTTACAGATTTAAAATGAACATGTTATTAAGCAGTTATCAGAGCAGATCATGCTCGATCAATTGTTCGGACATTTATGATTATGTTTACTTTTGTTAAGTAGAAAAAAATTATGTATGAAATTTATGTACTGTCTAATAAATTATAAACTAAAAATCATGTGAAAATTTACATCTTATACTGCTGAATGTTTTCCTATTATCTCGTCATTATGTCTTTGATTTAAATGAATTAATTCTCTCTTTTCAGTTCGTCCGTTTGTCAAAACTCGACGTTCATCTCTGGAAAAAGTAAATGAAAAAAGTAACGATTAATGCTAATTTTTTGCACTCAAGTGTTGACCTACATTTCTATTTATTCCCATTTAATGACTTGGAATGGTAATAAATTGAATTTACTTAGTTCTCACCTTTCTAATCTCGTAGCCCCAACGTGTGACTTTCTTTGGAAAATTAATGCAATTATTCCCATATTATTGGTCACACAGCATAAGAAATCGATGAGAATTACAAGCAATATAATTCCAACAATTGAAATCGTTATGATAGTAAATGAGGATATAGTAATGCGTGCTTCCTCAGTTAGTTCCTTTTTCAGTTCTAGAAGAAAATAAGATTTCAGCGTATAATAAGGCACACACATACAGACAATTTAAGAGAATGTGCAAATACAGAAAATCAAAAGACTTGTTTAAATTATGATGATGTACATACAATTATTGAATATTTATTAATGAACATAAAGAGCATAAAATTAAACATGTCTGTGACAAACTTGTTGTGAGTAATGCAAAAGACGTAACACTAAAGCTGCTATAATGATACTGGTTAGGAGACTTCTCAGACTTACCTCCATTGGCAGTTCTCATGTAAATATGAGTTGGCAAGGAAAATCCAATAGCATTGTGCGCCCTTAATTCAATCTGATAATATGTATCTGGCGTTAAGTCCTTCAAAACTTGATTCGAAAATGTATAAGCAATGTAGTTGATTTCATTACACATATTTCCAATTTCATTCCATACGTTGTTAATTTTGCTTCCCTGTTGTGAACAGCAAATAAAGACATTAGAGTCATACATGAGAAATAAATTTAAAAAAAAACTGTAATTTCTCACCGGACAATACTTAATGGTATAGAAATCAATTGGTTCTCCATTATCAGGAGGTCGACTCCAAGTCATTTCAAATTTATCAGAGTAAACGGAACTGGCAATTGGAATTTCACCTTCTTCTTGATGTGTGAATTGATTCAATATTTTTGGCGATTGAGGCACTGATCTAGAAGGAGTTCCTTGAACTCGAATTGCACTCCACTGACCAAGTCCGACATCATTGCGAGCAGCAAATCTAAAGATATGTTTTTGTAAATACTTTATTTATCTAAAAAATGTCATAAAATTGTCATACCTAAGAGTATACATAGTTTGTGGTCGAAGATTCTCAACGACATAAGGAGTATCTGGTGTCCACGTTCTATTTAGTGCATGACTCCAATCCAGACTTCGTTCTTCTTTATATTGTGCGGTATACGCTGCAATAATAAACATGGAATTAATTAATGACTAATATTTATGAGTAGGTTTAACTTACATTTTATAGGAAGTCCAGGTTCATATGCAGGACCAATAATCTCAAAAGTAATAGTTGTGGCTGTAACATCGATAGGCTTGGCTTGTGCAACAGGAGGTGGCAATCGACCCTCTCTCAATTCCATTATGTGCTCTTCTCTTCCTAATTTATTCACAGCTACAATTTAAATTTAATCATTAAAAGTGTCAAACATTTTCAAATCGAGGATTTCCATTGCTCGTCAAACCATCTTACCAATGCACTTGAAGTTTGAGTAGTATGTTCGACTGGCAGGTGTAACTATAAGAAATCATCAACAATGAATGTTGGTAAAGCAGACTTAATTCTAGAACTTTATAGCAAAATAATTTACCCATAAGATCACTTCTTGGACCATCCTCGACAATTCTCAAAAATTTATCTTGCATTTCACGAATTAATCTTTCATTCCAACGCCATTCAATTGTTGCATTTGGAAAAGCCATAGCCATACAGCTCAAGTTTGCTTCGCGTTCCTCCCAGCTAAAAACTGGTGGTAGATCCTTCATGTGATCAAAATTTGGTGGATATTCGACAGCTATATGTCCATGAGGCAAGCCAAAAGTTTCTCCACCCTTATTTCGAGCAACACATTGATACAAGCCATCGTCTGATCTTTGCGTATCGGAGATAAATAAAGTTCCAGTTCCTTCCCAAATCTCATTATCGACAGTTTGTTCAAGAGTAATACGACCATCATCTCCTTGACTTCCTTGTCTAAATTCATCCATTGAACCATATCGTCTGAATGTAACTATTGGAACTGGCCATCCACGACTTTTACATACAAGCGTGGATTCACCGTGTACTGGAACTGTAATATTTATTAATTGGAAAATTTTAGGCTTTACAACGACATCAATTCTCGTCTCTTCCTCTGCAATTCCTGCATTATTTTTAGCTATACATTTATAAACTCCACGATCAAATTCATCTACTCGAGAGATACTCATTTGTCCATTATGAGGAACAACTGAAAAACGATCAGCAAGTGACATGTCTTTTTGATCTTTAATCCATTGAATTAAAGGAGGTGGTTTTCCTGTTGCTAAACATTTAACAGAAAACTCTTCACCTTCTATGGCTTCATATCGATACTCTAAAGGTTCAACTGTTGGCTTAATCTGTACATCTAATCGAATTGCTCTCTCAGCCAATTCTCCCGTTTGTATGACTAAGTTGAATGAAAAGTAAAAAAGGGAAATTAATTAAAGCATAATTAACAAATTTAATTAAATCTACCAGCTGCTCTGCATGTATAAATTCCATCGTCTGATTCTTGGACATTTGTAATTAACAGTCCATCGTGCTTAATGATGAATTTTTCTGACGATTTTATTGCATCGCCATTTCTCATCCAGTCTATAAATAAATAACTTAACATAATTTTTTTTTTTATCAGAGTTAATTTAATTCTATTACCTATGCTTGCTGGAGGACTTGCAGTCACCATACATTTTACTACATAATCACTGTTTAATATTGGATTTTGGTAATCAGGAGCATCACGAAAAGTTATGCCAACTAATGAGATTCAAATGAAAGCAAATGATTATAGTCACGAGAAAAATGTTTGAAAGTTCGTTGTTCTCACCAAAAGTTTCAATTTTCACTTTCTCTTCTAGATATTCCGAATTCGCATAAGATGCAGAGCAATAGAAATACCCTGCCAAAGACTCACTCAATGACGTGATAACGAGCATTAACTGATTAATGTTTAAACTTTCTGTATAGATAATAGGCGGTTGAGATCCATATCTGTAAGTAAGAAGCTTCTTCAGCACAATGTCATTAATTAAGAGTTTTAATTTACTGTTTTGGGTTGATGGTATTATTATAGCTGTCTTTCCATTTTAAGTCGGTGATCAGTTCTTTTTGTTCCACATTAGGGCTACATTAATAAAATGAGGATTACTAAAATGCAATCGATGAGGATCAATAATTTTATAATACCTGCATGTCAATACTAAAGGTTTATTAACTGGACGTCTTTGTACTGCTTGATTTGGAAGTATCTCCAATCGAGGTTCTTTTGACATTTGACATTCTATTAAATTTAAAACAAGCAAGCACAAAAATTTCGTTATCAAGTCATGTTCTTTTCAAGATACATAAAAAGTGATCACTAAGATAGCGTGAATTGCTTTTCGCCTTGACAAAACATAAATAAATTAGGGCGTTTTTCTTCAAGAAGCTGGATCTTTGATTTCTTCGAATTTAAGCATTAGTCATGAACGCGATTTTTATGATTCACTTGTTTCAATATGATTATGATTAAACTTAGACATAAATGTAACCAGTTCCTTACCAAATGTCGAAAAAAGATTTATTGTTATAAACAAGAATATGAATTGATTTAAACTCATGATATAAACTCATTACTAATGTCTACTTATTCTAAAATAATGTTTTAAGCTGCACTTTCGGTAAATTATGTTGTCTAAAGCACTTATGAACTAAGTTTGTCAAACTTTTTCCAAAAAATAATGTATTTAACAATTAATGAAAGACACTTTGTTATACAGTAATATTAATTAATAGACTTGGGCACTGCTAGTCGCAAGATCTTGGCTGGATAATTATTTATGTTACATGTGAAAACTTCTTAAATAGCACAATATTCAGCTATTAATATATTAATTTCAGTGATCTCTATTTGTATAAAACAAGAAATAAGTAATATTATACATTTTGCCCATCCACAACAAGAAAAGTGCTGTGCTGTGGTGCAAGTGTATTAATTCCAATACAAAGAAAATACATAAGTAAGCATTTGTCTTATGGTCTACATATGTTCCTTTTTATGCTTCATTTTATGGCAAGTGACAATTTATAATTTAAAACAAATTTTTGAGGCAATTTTAATGAGTCATATTATTTTGATGATCATCTTGAACGAGATCATGCATTATATCCCATGATTGCAATGTGTGACTAAGATGCGGTTTAAAAATGATGATTAATTTTGTAGTGTGGCCTTTTGATATTATATATATATCTATAATGTACGATTTGGATCAATACTTTGTGATCGAGGAAGGAATAATGATCTTAAAATCTCATTTTTTGATAGACGAAATTTATAAACGAGTATTAATGCTATAATTAACCGTCTTTAAAGTTCAAAATTTAAAAATTGAACTAAAATCCAGGCTAGAAATCCAAAAGAAAATGTGTTTTTACCGCATTCTACAAACTTTGGACTGAAACGCGATATGTAAATGACTTTAAAAGCCTTAATAAGCTAAACTATGATTATTTAAATGAATTATTATAGATGGATTAAAGTAAAAGCAACGAATGAGGGAAAACAAATGATTTTGTAGAATGCATCACTGATAAAATAGATAAAGAACTTCCATGCGCGATGACAAAGTCAATAGATGTAGTTTAGTCGACGAAAATTGTTCATTCGTTTCTCTGATTTCAAAGTGAGAGGTTGATTTTAATAGAAAATTCTTCCATAAAAAAGAAAAATCAATTAAAAAAGATATTTCAAAAGTATTTAACAGTGGAAAGTTAAGAATTGATAAAAGTACGATCAAATCGAGTAAAAGTTTTGTGAAAAACGCGAAAGTAATATAATTAACTTAAAAAAATAGAAATTAGTGTAGAAACCTAAAAGTTGCAATTTTTCGATAGATTAAAGCAAAATGGTAATTATCTTTTTAACATCTTTCTATTCAGAATACGCAAATGTAGCATTTTTAAGCTAATTTTCAAAAGAATCACGAGAAAAAATAATTCAATCAAATTAAGAGTATGTACTACATTTTTGACGCATTGAAGATATCCAATATGTATATATATATAAATTATATCTGCAGAGAGTTCCAATGTCCAAGTCTTTATGAGAAAAATATTGGAATTTAATTTGAGTACATTATTCGAATGATAGATTAACAGTATTTTATTATTATTGAACTAATATAATGTATAAAATTGGAAGAAAAAGTACATTAGAATTGGCGACATTATTTCATACATTTGTACGGTATTCGCATGCTCTCTACAACTACACTGATACATTAGCTACGAAAAGCCGAGGCTGCTTCATGTTTTTACACAAAAAACGATATTTGCCGCATTGCGGACTTTATACCTATCTCTCTTCTTTCACAATTCCTTAAATACTTTCTTATAACTTAATTATAATAAAAATATATAAATTTCTCTTTTATTATTAAGAACAACATGCATATTTATGAGCATAGAATTTATTAAACTTAAGAATAGCAAACAATTATTAAGGGAAATATTAAATCTATTATTTTTCTCCTGCTGCCTTTATATGCTCTATCTCTTTCACTTCTTTTTTTTTCTTACCTTTTTTCGATGTACGCATACCAGCATAATGTTTGTGTTGAAGATTTTTATTAAAGCGTCAGAAATATTTCAATTCAGAGAAAAATTCCTTGATTTTCAACAGGAATATCAACAAAATAATAAAACTATGGAATTTAAAAAAATTAAATTGATGCATATCCTGAGTCATAAATTGTCAATCCTTTTCTTGCTCGTAAGCGCAGGCAGCTTGCGTACATGTTTTTTTACGATTGACTACAATTTTCCTGACTGGGCTATTTCCTTCATTAATTAAGTAAAAGGGCGATTCCATGGATTAGTGGAATTAATCAAAAATTTGTTGCAATTCTTCTCAGACTTGATGGTTTAAATATTTTAATCCTTCTATAATTATAAAAACAACATTCTAATCAGAGAACAGGTTGTTAATTTCAGTAGATTTTGCTTTTTCAATAATCAATTTAAGTCGATTTAAGCATGCAGGAAGACAGGACAATGAATTGTTTTCTAGACAGTGTAAAAATTTTGCTTAAAAAATCACATTTCCACGTTTTGAAATATTGCGAAATACACTAAAATCCAAATACTTCGTTAATTAAAGCTTATAGAAAGAAGAAAAAAAAAAGATATTCAGGAAGAATTCAGTTATTGGACTGTCTAGATAAATCATTTTTGAGAAAAAATGGTTTAAAGTATAAGATTTTAGAAAATCACATTTGTGGAATTACCCAATAAGAAAAAAATAATATTGTTGACTCTTGTTTTATAACTTCTGTTTTACCAAATTAATAATGAAGTAATAAGTACTGATAAAGAAAAGTATTATCGCATTCGACGGCAAAAGATAAAGTTCTTAAGTGGAAGCAAAAAAATAATACTCGAGGAAAATTGCTGTAATCATTGATTTTAAATACATAAATATGTTGCAGGTTTTTTTTTTACGCTTGCGCATTCTGAATTCTTATGAATGATTCGACTAATTAATATATTTGTCGTATTCGTTTATTAAATTATAAATTAAAGAAACACTTTTATTCTATCTCCTTTCTTTACTTTTAATTTCAGGCCGATCAATTAACAGAGGAACAGATTGCTGAATTCAAAGTATATACACCAATATGTCTATTTTTTATATGAATCATACAAATCTTTTTGTCACTGCTAAAAATAATGAATTGTTTTTTTTCCTCTTATATTTTCATCATCATTATCATCTACATAGGAAGCATTTTCATTGTTCGACAAAGACGGTGATGGAACAATCACAACAAAAGAATTGGGAACTGTGATGAGATCGCTTGGTCAAAATCCAACAGAAGCCGAACTTCAAGACATGATCAATGAAGTTGATGCGGACGGTATGTATATGCAGTAATGCAGTAGTAAAAAAAAGAAGTCAATAAAAACATTTTTCACGATTGCTATTTGCAAAATCTGCAGTTATCACTTTGGCTGGCTTTGCTTTAACTGGGTCATATCTCGGGATTTTTCGCATTGCACTACTTGTCTGCAGGAAACTTTTTTTTTCGAAGCTCGCATCTCAATTGATTATTTCCGTGTTTCAAAAAGAGCTAGTGAAAAAGAAAAAATGATTACAATTCTAAAACAGCAATTGAATATGAATTATGAGAATTTTTTTTTAATTATCAAATCTTGAATAATTTAGCATTTGAGTGGTTTTACCTTTTAAAATCTCAATAATCGTTCATTTATGCAAAAATAAAACTTATTGGAAAGTGCTGTCGTCATTTGACTTTCGGTTGGATGGGGATGAGGGGAGAAAGAAGTAGTTTTAAATTACCAAAAAAATAATAATAATAATAACTTTTTGCTTATCGATTACTTGAAAAGAAATTGCTTCTTCGAATGAAACAAAATATAAAAAATTACAAAAGTCTTCGTGTCATTGATCGAGGAACTTCAGCGCATTTCTGATGCAACGATCAGTATTTGATAAACAAAAAAATGCCAGTCAATAAGCAAATATGTCTAGTTAAAAAAATTTTTTTGTGCTTCAACCGTTTTTGAGATTCAAATTTTGTAACGGTAGGAGTAAATTTGAATTTTTAAACACATACCCATCACGTGTTAAGAAAAATCATTAATTATAGTATAAATACACTGTTTAAAAACTTTTAACCCGAACTCTCTACGAAGTCTGATTAAAAAGTTTTTGATCCTTCCGAACGAACATACAAAGTGTATTATTAAGCTAGCTTTTCGAAACAAGTTTCAAAAATGCGCTAAAAATGGAAAAATATGCATTTATTCCCTCATATTTCAATTGTGCTCAGCAAGGAGAAACTATAAAAACCATATTTAATCATTTAATCAATACTTGAATGCTAAGATTGCTAGGTAGCTTTATTTGTTTGCTCGTGGATGGTACTACTTAAACCAACCGTTCATCATAAAGACACAAGAAATATAGGGCATTTTATACATTCTCATTCGTTTACTAAAATATGTTTTCCTTCCAAAATGCTAAGCAGCTAGAGCTAGCAAAAAAATGTCACGAAATTCTGTAATCTTGCTGCAGTACACATAAAATAAGAAAATTATTCAAATGGAGCTTTAATGTTAAATTTTTTTTTTGATTGAATGAGCCAGTGTTCTTGTATTAGCAGCAGCAAATATGCAATGATTATCATTTTCTCATTTAGTTTATTTATAACATTGTTTTACTTACATTTTTATATTTATTTTTATTTATACACGTTTATATTTAAATAAACTATGCCTATGTAGGAAATGGAACAATTGATTTCCCTGAATTCCTTACCATGATGGCTCGTAAAATGAAAGATACTGATAGTGAAGAGGAAATTCGGGAAGCATTCCGCGTATTTGATAAAGACGGCAATGGCTTCATCTCTGCAGCAGAATTGCGCCATGTAATGACAAACTTGGGAGAAAAATTAACAGACGAAGAAGTCGATGAGATGATTCGTGAAGCAGATATCGATGGTGATGGACAAGTTAATTACGAAGGTATTACATTATTACTCATGCTTTCAATTCTCCAGAACATGTGACTCATGCATTTTTCGTTTCGTTTCATTGTAGAATTTGTCACCATGATGACATCAAAGTGAGCTCCTGTTTTGAGTGTACGTCGTCAGCCTTTGAATACACAACACTATTACAATTATAAAACTATGAAAAACTGTAATATGATCTATCAATATTTTGTTCTGTAAAAAAAGAAGCTATGGGAAAAGGCCACATAAATACCATCACATGTAAAATTTTTCGCATTTTCTATATGTGCTTCTTAATAATACAACAAAAAGTAACATTTTAAAGCGGATAATCGCACTTTATTTTATAATTTTTCATTTCTAAACGTTTCAGTTAAAATATGGTTAAATATTTTTAAAATAATATTTAATAAATATGTACTAAAATTTGTTGAAACATTTTTCAAGCAAAACTATTTGAGATTTGCAAAAAATATACTTATTTAAATAACAAGAAAAAAGAAAAAAAACTATCGCTATAAATTTAAAGATAAAAAGAAATAATAGCAAAGTAAGAGAATTGAGAGAAAAAAAAATTTAAAAAAAATCCACTGTATCTTTTGAAAAAAAATTGCAAATTTAATCAAGCTTTCACACCTCTCACCCAGAAATCTGTACTTTTCAAAATTAAATAAATATGATTCAGTTCAAATTAAGTTTATTTTTCTAATTATTATTATTTTCTTTTTATTTACGACTCCTTCCAATCTACATGCCATCTAAACGAGTTCTTCATACCCCCATAACACCACTGACTGGCTTATTAATGGAATTCCAAACTTTAAAAAAAATCGTTTTTAATAAGCAACCCCTAGTAAAGCAGGGTAGTATCTAAGACTATTTAAATTCTTTCAAAAAAATTTCGTACTTAATGCGTGACGTGATAAAGTTTCAAGCTGGATTCAGCGAAATTGAGCTCAATTTTCCAAGATTGATAGATGTGGCTGTATATTGGATCCTCTCTACGACAACGTTTTGTTTGATTCCTAAACTTTCTAAATCTCTTCTAACCCGTTCTATTTATGACACTTGTTCAAACTATATGTTGTTTTAATAAGGAGATATAGTTGAGATATAATTCACCCATTCTGTAAGATTTTCATACAGAAAGAAAAGAAATCAAAATTTATGTTTTTTAAATAAACATGTGTAGTTATTTAATAATTCTTGTATTAATACATAATACGTATCCGTTAAAATACTGTTTAATGATTAAAAACAAGCAAGCAAGCAAGGAAAGAAGGAAGGAAGGAAGAGAAAATCAAGTGGAATTATTTAAGAAAATGTACGATTATAAAAGCTATAAAAAAAATCACCAAATTTCATTTTGAAAGTAAATTTAATAAATTCCTTACAAATTATTGTGAATTAGCCAATCTTAAGAGTTTTGAATAGACTATGAAGACTAGGCTTTTTAGCGCATTTTCCTTTAGAAACAATGCGCTTATTGGTACACTGGAAGCACTTGGAGATTTCTACACAAGAATGTTTCTACAGAATGTAACATAGGGGGGGGGTGTCAAGAAGTATGTAACGTTCTAACTGTCGTCTGTCTTTTAAAAAGAAGTTCACGAAAAAAATTTGTTTACAAATTCACACCAAAAACATTTTTTTAAATTTTCCACCTTTTTAATGATAAAATAAATTATGAACGTTCAGGGGGGGGGGGGGGTGTGAGTTGTAACATATTGTAACAAGGGGGGAGGGGGGGGGTTTAAAAAAGTCGTTTTTTTGCGTAACGTAATAAGTAAACGGCCCCTTAAGATAATTAATTAAATTAACATTTCTGTATTTATTGGTGCACATAATATGATATTGGATTAGCTTATGAATTTAAATTTTGAATCTCAAGGAACCGTTAAATGAAAATTTTTGAAAGTTATGTTAAAATGAGTGAAGATTTGGCATGAAGGTTCAAACGCCTCCTCCCCAAAATTTCCGTTATTCAGGACATGACTTGTATCCGACTGGATCAATGACTTCAATATGAAATTACTGATCTACGTGAGGAAAATGCGCTTAGTTCGTCCGTTCACATCTGTAACGGCAGCTGCTATACTAGTTTTCTACAGAGGTCGAAGTCAGTGAAGTGAAGTCGATTCACTTCACTTCACTCGAAAATTCAATCGGTTTCAAGTCGACTCGTGTTCACTTCGAAAAATTTCTCACTACCATTAGCAATTTCTGCTTGCACTTGTGAAGCATGTAATTTCATGCAAAATGCTAGTAAACATTCTTTATTTAAATAAGCTACAAAATATATAATATCATTATTCTATCGCTTATTCAAATCAAAAAAGGATGTTTTTTATCTTGTTTCTTAATTAAATTAAACAATTGTTTGAGATTACATACTTCACAAGAGTAACCAGAAATGAGTTTGTGTATCCAGCAACTTTTTTTTCCCGAAGTGAACACAAGTCAACTTGATAAATTGAATTCAATCTTTAAACACTTTTTCCTGAAAAGAATACACAATTTATGCTTATTTAGGAATGAGAGGAGTAACAAAACATGAGATCTTTGCATTAGCTCAAGATTGTGTTTCTTGTATGTGAGCAATACAATAGCTTTTTATTTTTCGTTATTATTATTTCATAATCAAAATCCAGTTCAGAATTTACTTTAATGGAATAAAACGAGAACTGTGAGTTGCACCAATACCGGGTCTACCGTGCTTGACTGGCTTATATGAGAGTGAGAAATCACCAAGATAGTGTCCAATCATTTCGGGCTTGATTTCAACCTGTTAAAAAAAATTATAGAAAAGAAGTTTTAAACAATTAATATCCCATTTTTCTCTCTCTATGTACAATTTTTTCGGATAATTTTATAGTTTTAATTTAAATCAGGCACCAAATTGTAATCTTCAAAGGAAGTATAAGTAAATAAAATGACTATCTTTAAAAAACATAAAGAAATTGCATTTATAATTTAATTAATAATCTCCCTTATCATTCTCGTCATCGTGTCATCATTTTAATAAAATAAAGGAATGTCTTAAAAGGTAGACTAGCTTCAAAACTCACTTGATTGAATGTTTTGCCGTTGTAGATACCAACAATTGATCCAACCATTTCTGGCATAATGATCATGTCTCTCAAATGTGTCTTGACAATAGCTGGTTTTTCTAATGGTGGTGCCTCTTTCTTTGCCTTTCTTAATTTCTGGATCAAAGCCATTGGCTTTCTTTTAAGTCCTCTAGCGAAACGACGGCGAGCACGACTATGCATCAATTCTGACAATTGTTCATTTGGCATATCCAATAATTGGTCCAAATCAACTCCTCTGTATGTAAATTTTCTGAAAGTTCTCTTCTTGCGAACTTGTTCTTCACCTCCTTGAGCCTATCAAAACACACCTAAATTAGTGTAAATTTCAAATAAATCATCCCATTCAACTTACATCAGCCATGATGATTGATTTTGCTTACGAATTCTCTGAAAATACACGAAACAAAAATACAATCATTAGTTTATAACCTCAAATTTCTCAAAACTCAATTCTTCAATTTTCATTAATTTAAGTACTTTAATGCTAGCATTTTATGAAATTTATATTCATTTCATGTCTATGAACAATAATTTATACCAAATGAATATTAAAAGGAGCTTAAAACAACTTAAATAATAAATTAAAGCAAGAGACAGAAAAACTTAGTACCTTTCGTTGCAAGTGTGAGAAAAAAAGGAAATATTAAGTTCGCCAGTGTTGGCAACAGCGATTTTTCAATAATTTTCCTTATATCTTCATCATTCATTATTTCGATGATTCCTGTCGCTTAGAAGACTAATATACATTTCTTGCGTACAAATAATGAAGTTGTAATGCATAGAAAAGCTAGTATTAACAGTTACACTCACCTGTATACTATGAAAACAACTCTGTACATCATTTGATCCGTGTCAATGACTCACGGTGCTTTATTTATTTCATAAGCGTTTCTTGATTCAATTAAAACATTATGTTATTTCAAAGCTAATATCCTCTGTGGCATTATTATATGGTCTAATAATCTGCTAAAAGCTTGTTTTTTTAATTAAATGTGAAAGTTGTGCCAATTTTTCCATGGAAATGTCAAATATTCAAAAATAATTTGGTCGTTGACGATTTTTTCTCTCTAAATTTCAAATTTCAATTAATTTAAATTTATTATTTTTTGCGTTATTTACAGTTTTTGAAGTCTTTACTAGTTCATTTCACATCCATAGTTTAAGTTAAGCCGAAACGCCTATTTTGTTGTCGTTTGTCAGTATTTCCTTATTTTCATCAGGCATTAACTGCAGGAGATAGATTAAAGTTCAGGTAAAAAAAAGGGTTTTGAGTATGGTGAATGAGCATCAACTTACCCTATCTAAAACATGCTTAAATACAAGTCCATCATCGCCTACAAAGAATGTAGAAAATCCATCATACCAGGTTTCTTGACTATCAAAAGCTTCTCTAATATTCCATAGCTTATATTTCCAGAATGTAAGCATGACTTTCCATGCACTAATCCCTCTAATTCTCCATCGAACTCGAACTGAATGATCCTCTTTGCTCATCGTTATCTTGACGATCTCAAATTTAACATAAGCAAACTTTATATGCCCAACAGTTCTCAGCAATGCTATTTGCTTTACATATTGAAACAGTCCACTGAAATATTTTAAATTCAAAGATTAGCTATAAAGTTATTAATTATGTATGTTAACGGATTCCTTACACTGTTCTTGTTCCCCGTATATTGTTTTCGAATATTAAATTTGGATTATAGATTCTGTAATCCATAGGCTGAATAAACAATGACGGCAAAGTATTTGAAAGAGTATCATAAACATGTTGAAGATCACTCGATTGTTTATTATTCTGATTTTTCGGTTCCTAAAATATCATTATGAAATAGAGAAAATTATAAGACGATTATTATGTAAAAGTTTGGTCTGCATTAATTTAGAAACTCTCTAAACTGTCAATTGATCAGATGCAAACAGATCATTCTTATAATTTATTGAAATTGGTTTCTTGGAAGTAGAACCATTGGCATTCATCCAGAATCTTATAACTTACTTCCTCATTATTGATTGACTGGACGGTACAGTACAAATTCTTCAGAATCACGGGCTGAAATTTTTTCTCTGTCTGTTGCTGTAATATTAAGCTCTAAAACGATGATTTAAGGATATTTTAAAAATGGAATTCTACGAAAACTCAATTTTTTATGCTTACTTTCTTTTCATTTAATGAACTATCAAAATGAAGCAGTGCCGACAAATGCTTTGCATTTAAATTACTTTGCAATAGTTTATTTAATTTAATTATACTATAATTAAGCCGCAACACAGACATTTTTGTAATTCACTTGATATATAGTCTATTGTTTATCCGTAGGATTTACCTTTCGCTAGTTAAGAAGCTTCGACTTTATTTTAATTCAAATCATTTTAGACCGTTCTTATTTATAAATTTTTATTATTATTATTATTACTTAAAACGTTTTTCTTAACTTGCTTTCTTATCTGTTTATCTTGGTCAAATCTTACGATCAATTTTTCGACCACTTCTACTGCTTCAATCGAGCTGAAACTTTGCATGCACTTATTTTTCTGATAACAATACAATATTCAAGCATTTTAAAAACTTAAAAATGCTTAATTACAGTACAATTATATTAAATTTTCAACTCTTTAAGGCTTAGCTTATTTTTACATAACATATGTACAACTTTCAACTATTATAAATTTCAAAAAGCCTTTATCAGTTTGAATCTAGGTATTATAAATGATAAACAATGCTAATGTAGATATAAAATCGATATTTTTTTGAAAAAAGCCTTCTATGATCGAAACCAAAAATGCTTTAAATTGCATTTTAAAACAAATCTAGGTATTATAAATGATAAGGAATGCTAATGTTGATATAATATCGATATTTTTTTGAAAAAAGCCTACTAGGATCGAAACCGAAAATGCTTTAAATTGCATGTTAAACAAATCTTGGTATTATAAATGATATAGAATGCTAATGTTGATATAATGATCGAAACCAAAAATGCTTTAAATTGCATTTTAAAACATGAATAGGTATTATAAATGATAAGGAATGCTAATGTTGATATAATATCGATATTTTTTTTGAAAATAGCCTGCTATGATTGAAACCAAAAATGCTTTAAATTGCATTTTAAAACATGAATAGGCATTATAAATGATAAGGAATGCTAATGTTGATATAATATCGATATTTTTTTGAAAAAAGCCTACTAGGATCGAAACCGAAAATGCTTTAAATTGCATTTTAAAACAAATCTAGGTATTATAAATGATAAAGAATGCTAATGTTGATATAATATCGATATTTTTTTGAGAATAGCCTGCTATGATTGAAACCAAAAATGCTTTAAATTGCATTTTAAACAAATCTTGGAATTATAAATGATATAGAATGCTAATGTTGATATAATATCGATATTTTTTTGAGAATAGCCTGCTATGATTGAAACCAAAAATGCTTTAAATTGCATTTTAAAACAAATCTAGGTATTATAAATGATAAAGAATGCTAATGTTGATATAATATCGATATTTTTTTGAGAATAGCCTGCTATGATTGAAACCAAAAATGCTTTAAATTGCATTTTAAACAAATCTTGGAATTATAAATGATATAGAATGCTAATGTTGATATAATATCGATATTTTTTTGAAAATAGCCTACTATGATCGAAACCAAAAATGCTAAACTGCATTTTGAAATATGAATAGGTATTATAAATGATAAAGAATGCTAATAATGATATAATATCGATATTTTTTTGAAAATAGCCTACTAGGATTGAAACCGAAAATGCTTTAAAGTGCATTTTAAAACAAATCTAGGTATTATAAATGATAAGGAATGCTAATGTTGATATAATGATCGAAACCAAAAATGCTTTAAATTGCATTTTAAAACATGAATAGGTATTATAAATGATAAGGAATGCTAATGTTGATATAATATCGATATTTTTTTGAAAATAGCCTACTAGGATCGAAACCGAAAATGCTTTAAATTGCGTTTTAAAACAAATCTTGGTATTATAAATGATAAAGAATGCTAATGTTGATATAATATCGATATTTTTTTGAAAATAGCCTACTATGATCGAAACCAAAAATGCTTTAAATTGCATTTTAAAACATGAATAGGCATTATAAATGATAAGGAATGCTAATGTTGATATAATATCGATATTTTTTTGAAAAAAGCCTACTAGGATCGAAACCGAAAATGCTTTAAATTGCATTTTAAAACATGAATAGGCATTATAAATGATAAGGAATGCTAATGTTGATATAATATCGATATTTTTTTGAAAATAGCCAACTAGGATCGAAATCAAAAATGCTTTAAATTGCATTTTAAAACATATTTAGGTAATATAAATGATAAAGAATGCTAATTTAGACATAAAATCGATATTTTTTTTGAAAATAGCCTGCTATGATTGAAACCAAAAATGCTTTAAATTGCATTTTAAAACATGAATAGGCATTATAAATGATAAGGAATGCTAATGTTGATATAATATCGATATTTTTTTGAAAAAAGCCTACTAGGATTGAAACCGAAAATGCTTTAAAGTGCATTTTAAAACAAATCTAGGTATTATAAATGATAAAGAATGCTAATGTTGATATAATATCGATATTTTTTTGAAAATAGCCTGCTATGATTGAAACCAAAAATGCTTTAAATTGCATTTTAAAACATGAATAGGCATTATAAATGATAAGGAATGCTAATGTTGATATAATATCGATATTTTTTTGAAAAAAGCCTACTAGGATCGAAACCGAAAATGCTTTAAATTGCATTTTAAAACATGAATAGGCATTATAAATGATAAGGAATGCTAATGTTGATATAATATCGATATTTTTTTGAAAATAGCCTACTAGGATTGAAACCGAAAATGCTTTAAAGTGCATTTTAAAACAAATCTAGGTATTATAAATGATAAAGAATGCTAATGTTGATATAATATCGATATTTTTTTGAGAATAGCCTGCTATGATTGAAACCAAAAATGCTTTAAATTGCATTTTAAAACAAATCTAGGTATTATAAATGATAAAGAATGCTAATGTTGATATAATATCGATATTTTTTTGAAAATAGCCTGCTATGATTGAAACCAAAAATGCTTTAAATTGCATTTTAAAACATGAATAGGCATTATAAATGATAAGGAATGCTAATGTTGATATAATATCGATATTTTTTTGAAAAAAGCCTACTAGGATCGAAACCGAAAATGCTTTAAATTGCATTTTAAAACATGAATAGGCATTATAAATGATAAGGAATGCTAATGTTGATATAATATCGATATTTTTTTGAAAAAAGCCAACTAGGATCGAAATCAAAAATGCTTTAAATTGCATTTTAAAACATATCTAGGTAATATAAATGATAAAGAATGCTAATTTAGACATAAAATCGATATTTTTTTTGAAAATAGCCTGCTATGATTGAAACCAAAAATGCTTTAAATTGCATTTTAAAACATGAATAGGCATTATAAATGATAAGGAATGCTAATGTTGATATAATATCGATATTTTTTTGAAAATAGCCTTCTATGATCGAAACCAAAAATGCTTTAAATTGCATTTTAAAACATGAATAGGTATTATAAATGATAAGGAATGCTAATGTTGATATAATATCGATATTTTTTTGAAAATAGCCTACTAGGATTGAAACCGAAAATGCTTTAAAGTGCATTTTAAAACAAATCTAGGTATTATAAATGATAAAGAATGCTAATGTTGATATAATATCGATATTTTTTTGAAAATAGCCTGCTATGATTGAAACCAAAAATGCTTTAAATTGCATTTTAAAACATGAATAGGCATTATAAATGATAAGGAATGCTAATGTTGATATAATATCGATATTTTTTTGAAAAAAGCCTACTAGGATCGAAACCGAAAATGCTTTAAATTGCATTTTAAAACATGAATAGGCATTATAAATGATAAGGAATGCTAATGTTGATATAATATCGATATTTTTTTGAAAAAAGCCAACTAGGATCGAAATCAAAAATGCTTTAAATTGCATTTTAAAACATATTTAGGTAATATAAATGATAAAGAATGCTAATTTAGACATAAAATCGATATTTTTTTTGAAAATAGCCTGCTATGATTGAAACCAAAAATGCTTTAAATTGCATTTTAAAACATGAATAGGTATTATAAATGATAAGGAATGCTAATGTTGATATAATATCGATATTTTTTTGAAAATAGCCTACTATGATCGAAACCAAAAATGCTTTAAATTGCATTTTAAAATATGAATAGGTATTATAAATGATAAGGAATGCTAATGTTGATATAATATCGATATTTTTTTGAAAATAGCCTACTAGGATTGAAACCGAAAATGCTTTAAAGTGCATTTTAAAACAAATCTAGGTATTATAAATGATAAAGAATGCTAATGTTGATATAATATCGATATTTTTTTGAAAATAGCCTGCTATGATTGAAACCAAAAATGCTTTAAATTGCATTTTAAAACATGAATAGGCATTATAAATGATAAGGAATGCTAATGTTGATATAATATCGATATTTTTTTGAAAAAAGCCTACTAGGATCGAAACCGAAAATGCTTTAAATTGCATTTTAAAACATGAATAGGCATTATAAATGATAAGGAATGCTAATGTTGATATAATATCGATATTTTTTTGAAAATAGCATTCTATGATCGAAATCAAAAATGCTTTAAATTGCATTTTAAAACATATTTAGGTAATATAAATGATAAAGAATGCTAATTTAGACATAAAATCGATATTTTTTTTGAAAATAGCCTGCTATGATTGAAACCAAAAATGCTTTAAATTGCATTTTAAAACATGAATAGGCATTATAAATGATAAGGAATGCTAATGTTGATATAATATCGATATTTTTTTGAAAATAGCCTTCTATGATCGAAACCAAAAATGCTTTAAATTGCATTTTAAAACATGAATAGGTATTATAAATGATAAGGAATGCTAATGTTGATATAATATCGATATTTTTTTGAAAATAGCCTACTAGGATTGAAACCGAAAATGCTTTAAAGTGCATTTTAAAACAAATCTAGGTATTATAAATGATAAAGAATGCTAATGTTGATATAATATCGATATTTTTTTGAAAATAGCCTTCTATGATCGAAACCAAAAATGCTTTAAATTGCATTTTAAAATATGAATAGGTATTATAAATGATAAGGAATGCTAATGTTGATATAATATCGATATTTTTTTGAAAATAGCCTACTATGATCGAAACCGAAAATGCTTTAAAGTGCATTTTAAAACAAATCTAGGT